TCGTGAATTTGTTCGTTTTTTCATGAACGTGAACTGAACCCGTTCATATTTTGCCTGACGAACGTAAAATTGAATGCGTTCATCCGGCGTGCACGAACGGGTTTATGAATGCGTTCTTCCGCCGTTCTAGCTCCAGATCTCCACAGAGCTTTTCCGGAGCTAAAGCCTAGCTAAAACATCCTGTTACCGTAGAGTTTATAAAAAGTAGAACCCGCAAATGCGGCCAAACATAGGCAGTAGCAGTTGGTGCTGCATCTACTCTTCTATGTCTGTGCTGTGTGAAGGAGCCAAAGTTCATTCAGAAAAACTGAAACGGGACTTAACTGAAAGATTATACATTTTTTAATGTTTTGCATTTTTAATATTGCACTTTGAGTTTGCTACCTCAGCCTGCTTCCTAAGTTTGTTTTAATAATTTCCCATTAAAATAATGTTTTCCTCATGTTATTGAGAATATACTGTAGGGTAACAACCGGAGCTGGGTATGAGTGTGGACTGAACGGGTGCCAACTACAAAATATGAACTAGTTTGTTTTTGAAACAGTTAACTTAGTTCAAAATTTTTTCTATTATGAACTAAGAAACAAACTAGTTTGTTTTAAAATGTATGAACTAAACTTTGAACTAGTTTGTTTTTTAAACAAACTTTCCCAACACTGACTTATGACACAGTGATTACACAAATGCATAGGCTAACACTTATCACAGTAAATTTGTACCATTGTATACTCATTCAATAAGTTTTATACTATCGTTTAAATCGTTATTGGGAGAGAGTCCGTTTAATATCAAGCTACATGTTATCACTTGCCGTGCTGTTTTTGTTTTCTTGTATATTTGTTTTACAGTGTCAGAGATGTTAGTGTAAATGGACTAAAAGAGAAATTATAATCAGCTCTAAGTGCTCCTGATCTCTGACGTCTTATGTAAGAGTTACTTCTCTACCATAGATAACAGTATCTATATACTGAGTGTAAAATATACTGGTAGTTTTCTGGTGGTGGTTAACATATTTATGAACTCATATAATATATAAAAAAAGTCTGTTGTGTTTATTTGGGTATTTTTGGTTCCAGGTACCTGAACATTTATTGTGGATGCATTACTATATAGGGGTCGATGTCAATTCAATGTTCCTTTAGAATAGCAATGTAAGAATGGGAACAATAGATTGTATCAATATAATTAGAAATTTTGTTATCTTTTTCAAACTAATAAATTTTTTTTATGCGTTTAAGAAACATTTGATGTTGTCTCCATGTTTAAAAAATGGTCAGGAACCATAGGCAGAACATTTTGACAGAATTGAGACCTTTAACAGTTACACCCCATTCTGCTTCCGGCTCTTGGAGAGTACAGACGCTTTTGTCCTCCTCTCCTCCTTATCTTATCCCAAGGCTCTTTGTCTGTCTTTGGGTGCACAGTGCTTCTCTGCATTTTTTCTGGAAACTGGAAATTATTAAACATGGATCTGGTCAGTTGGTCTCTCAACACGATTGATAACATTTTTTCAACTATGAGAACGGGAGAAGGGGCTCCCAGATGCCCCTCTGGGACAGAGCCAGCTGGGCATATCATGGACTCTGGAAACAATGGAACCTGATCTGCCTCTCTCAACTGTCAGTAGAGGATTCTGAAGACGTCTGGATATTTGTGGCATTGGTGTCAGGTTTCTTGCTTTTTGGCCTGAGTGGGTACCTTGCTTACCGGAAAATTAATGAGCTGTCAGGAATATTGGTTCAATCCCGGAGCTCAGGGATGGATTACACCGCGCTGTGAAGGCACAAACTCATATAATTGTCGAGATGAGTCGTAAGCTTGGAAGTTTGGCTGAGATTCAGACTCTGGCACAGAAGGTGGATTCGATCAAGGAGAAAGTTGACGGGTAAGCACGGACTGGGATAGACTAATTACGCCATTATTGGATTGAGAGAGGTTGAGGACCAACAGAACTTTAAGACAGAGAGTAAATTATCTCTGTCTGGCCCCAAAACAAGTTCTTATCTGAATCTGGTGCCCTTGAGCCTGTGAGGCTGAAGTGATTACTCCCCCTCAGAAGAAATGTGGAATGCTGCCTTCGCCATGGCAACTCTGTCTCCCTATCCCAGCCTGGGCGGTACTACGACCGGTGAAGGCCGTTGAATTGTTTCCAGGAGTCACTGTGCTTTCTAAACCCAACTACCTCTCTCCCCTGTCCAAACGGAGGTGACGAGCGCTGCTTATCGCGGCTGCCTGCACTGACTTGTGGAGAGTCCCCAACCCTACCTCCTCACCTAGTGGACACTTATGTTATGTAATGTCTGACTCCTGTTGCATTTCTGTCTGAGGTGTTTTTTGCATAGCAAAGCTGCCCTCCCTGTGGAGGGTAACTCTGAAGTGCCTTTTTTTCCTCCAACTGAACCAATCCTCATACATAAACCCTCTGATCTCTATAAAGGTAGCGCGACTCGGGTTGCGAATGACCACAGTCACCAATTCTTGTCATGTGTCTATGCCTATGTATGTCTGATCTCTGAATTGTGTGCACTGAAACTCTAATTTCCCTCTGGGATTAATAAAGTATCTTTGAATTGAATTGAATTGAATTGAATCTACTGCAGGCAAGTAAAAACTTAACAATGCACTGATAATATTTTGTATGAATGAAAATTAACACTTAGCACTGGCAGTAATTAAATCTTTCTTCCAGAGGGCAGAATATGTACAGCAGGAAGATGCATTACATCACTTCCTTCTTCCAGGTGCCACGCAATGTGTTTTATCCCATAGGTGGGACGCTGGAATGCTAACGGGATGGGTCTCTTAAAAAGCATAATCACTTTAAATGTTGCTACTGTTTTTAAAACATTTTGCTAACTTCCCTGCTCAGAGTGTTGATAAAGGTTGTAGTTGTGGCTCTGCTAAGATGTGTTTCCCTGTCAAGATCTAGCTCCTCACCTGCTTTTCTCTGTTGAGTAATTTGTTTGCTCTCTGAGGCCCTGTCCACACGTAGCCGGGGATCTGCCAAAACGTAGATATTTTTCTACGTTTTGGCCTGTCATCCACACGAAAATGGAGTTTTTTTCACACGAAAACGGATCTTTTTAAAAACTCCGGCCAAAGTGAAGATCTGCGTTTTCTCCGTTTTGGGTGTCTGCGTGTGGACAGACAGAACCAGAGTTTTAAGGTCCGCAATGTCACTTTCCGCAACAACAAAAAATGCTGACATCACGTGTGCGACCTGTGTTTACACTAGCCGACAGCATGGGTGCCCTCAGCTGCACTCGCTTTATCAACTGTCCAAGCGCTTTTTGCTTGTTTGTTTTTGCAAGCGGAATTACTGCTCCTTGCGGAAGACCACAGACGAAGGACGAGGTTAAGAACGGGGGAAGTACTGCCGCCTACAGGTCTGGCATGTCCTTAACAACGTATTTATCCGGGTACGTGTGGACAGAGTTTGTTTTTTAAACGAGATGGTGTGGATGCAAGTTTTTGGAGGGGCAGATATTCGTTTTTTTTTAAAAACCAGCTACGTGTGGACTAGGCCTGAGACATGACCAGGGTCATTTCTCTCAATTTTCTAGCTGTCCAGTTTAAGTAGGTCGGAATGGCTTGTTCTGGTTTTTGCATCTTGTGCATGTAGGATAAGATCAATGGACTGACCCTCCTTGGCATCCCCATAGGTTTCTGAAGAGCTGAATTGAAGCCATATGGATTCCAATGACCACCATCTTGGCTGTATCAAACATCAATTCCAAACAATACAGAAATAGGCTAAGAGGTGGAGCTCTGAAAATGTGGGAAACCATGACACTCATTAAACTCTGAGCCGAGCAATGTGATGTTAACTGCACAGCATTTTACCCTATTCAAAGGTGTTTCACTGAAAAAACATTTAATTATGATTTCTGATTATAATCAAGAGATTTTTATGCAGGCTGAACATGAAAATAAACTTCTACAGCTGCGTCCTGCATCAGCTTCTGATCGATGGTGAAAGTCTAGGATTTGAATACCCTGACAGGGTCCAGGTTTTTGTTATTTGTGCCATTTTCTTTGCTGACAAGAATGAGTTCTGCTAGCTTAAGTTGGTCTACACAAGAAAAGAGCTTTCTGCGGACTTTCAACTCAACAGCTCTTTTTCCACATTAAACTTTGTGGTGTTGCAATGTCTTTGGAAAACTGTTGGAAAAATAGTTTGAGCTTTTGTGGTTTCATATTTGCAAATATAGCAGGGGCTAAAGATTGACAATCCCTATTTATCCACATAATTATCGTGATTGGTTGGTGTTGGACCAGAGTTGGCAGACTGGTGAGGTAAAAAAAATGTGTAAAATTAGGGACCAAAATGAACAAGTGGCAGGAAAACAGGACAACAATTAAGGATAAGAATGAGGATAGCAGGTAGGCAAACCAACAAGTAAAAGAGGAAAACAAAAGAAGGACACGAAAACAACTGGAGGAACCAGGGAGAGTTCAAACAGTGGAACAGCAATCACAAAGGTGGAACTAGTGAGCTGATGCATAAATTTAGCAGAACACTGTGACACCATGCTTCTGGAACAAGCGTAGTGTCACGGTTATTAGCTACATCATGCGCTTCACAGACATTATGCACTGTTTATGCATCCGTTGGAAAGCCAGGGCTACACACCAGACAGGGCAGAATTCAGACCCGTGAGCATGGCAGTATTGTCTCAGTGCTATCTGTAAGTTTGATTGATATTTAGGCTTATAGGAGAAACAAGAGCTGATTTGTACTGTTGGTGTAAGGAAGAAGTTGTCAGAGATTACAATGTGTCGGGGAAATCCACCGATTATACAGACAGACAGTTTAATATTCCTGTGACAAGTCTGGTGAGACAGACGCCAGATGTCTTCAGGCAGGTTAAGGATAGACTTGACTTCGTTTGGTGTGAGCATGTCATCCATGTTGTAGCAACCACAAACCAACACTAGTACAGTTCATTACACAACACGTACAAAAAAGTGACTTTACCTCTCTCTTCTTGTCTTTGCAGAAATGTGCTCCCTTTCCTTTTCAGAACCCGTGAAACGCATCCATGAGGGGTGAAAAAGTGTCCGTGTGAAGCTGAGTTAGGAATTTCATTCATGTTTTACGTTCTTTGAAGTTAAAAATAAAACCACAACAAATTGAGTTTAAAGATGCTGGATCAAATTTTATTGACTCATCACAAAGTCTACAGTGCATGGCTTTACTTTTAATTAATTAGACAACCTTTGGTTTCATTTACAGGCAATAAATACAACATGTTCATTGCACATCCAGAACAATAAATACATTTTGTACATTCTTTGGTCTTTCGTTTGTGAATAGTGGTCATTTTAAAAATTATTGTTCTTTATTATCGCTTCAAAATTGGCGTGATTCACACTTATAGTCCAAATAAGTGAAGCAAGAAAATGTAATTTAAGGTATTAATGTTTGGAGTGAGACAGAGTGGTATCTACAACCTTTCATTTAAATCACATCAGTCTGGTTTTTACGCAAGTTCTCCTGAAACATGAACAAAACAAAATAAATTCACATTTCTCATTCAGGAAATAACATGACTCCAGAAATTAATCCAGTTACTCAATACTGGTCAACTGACCTGGTCACCCCAAGTTCAAATCTTTGTGTTTTGGTGTATGACTTGAGACAACCCAAAAGGGTCAAAGAAAAGATTACAACACTAAAGTGATAGTTTGGATCTTTTGAAGTGTAGGTCTTTGGAAAAGTTACGAACAATTAATGTTAGCTGTTGTAGACAGTGACTTGTGCAGCCTTAGTTTAAAGAGGGCCTACATTCGTTATTTCAATGATTTCCTGGTATCACTAGTATGAATGAATGCCTCATGACTAGTTTTCTGTGGAAAAAAGACTCCGGCTCTTCTGTTTCAGGAAGTTAAAGTTAATCGGAGGGGTGGGGGGGCACCAAATTACAGGATCTACTGTTCATAGTATCCCAACATCTCTCCTCTGATTGACTAATGGCAACGCGACTCTTTCACTGCTTCTGTTTGCAACGCTGATGTTTTATCTCCACACATAACACAAGCCTGAAGAAGTTCTGCTGTGGTGTGGAGTTGCTAAGGCTAATTGTGTGCTTTATAGCCAAGATGCACTCTTTTCCCTCCTGGACGATAAATCATCTTGAGCCAAGATGTGCGGGTCCATTAATGTTAATTGTGTCAGATTTACGTGTGTGATGTCAATCTGACAGGCTTTTCTTACCCAATCATTTCCTCGTCTATTTTCTGTCGGCGGCTGATGCAGGAGTTAGGGTGGAAGCCTGCATGTTGACCTCAGGGTGACCAATCATTTTTCAAAAATTACAAGTAAAACCCTTTCTCCTCAGTGAGCCTCTCCTGTAAAGAAACAGATTACATCTGATGGAAAAGTTAAGATCTCATCACAATGGATCTAAGTCCAAAGTGTGTTAGAAACTCACAGCAGTTTACAACAATGCTACTTTAAAAACATTTACATCCAAATAGATTTAACTTCCGTTGTTATTTCAGCTAAATAAAATTACATTTGCCAAAAGTGCCACATTTGTTTGAACGTTCCTTTGGAGATAACAAATTTCCCTTTAAACAAATTAACTTATTAATTTTTTCAATTCATGAAAATGTTTCTTTAAAATTGGCTGCGCAGTGGCACAGTGGTTAGAGCGAGAAGGTCCTGGGTTCGATTCCCAGCCTGGGATCTTTCTGCATGGAGTTAGCATGTTCTCCCTGTGCATGCGTGGGTTCTCTCCGGGTACTCCGGCTTCCTCCCACAGTCCAAAAACATGACTGTTAGGTTGATTGGTCTGTCTAAATTGTCCTTGGGCGTGAGTGTGTGTGTGTGCATGGATGTTTGTCCTGTGTGTCTCTGTGTTGCCCTGCGATGGACTGGCTCTCTGTCCAGGGTGTACACCGCCTAATTGCCCGTTGACTGCTGGAGATAGGCACCAACCCCCACCCCCCGACCCTGCGTGGACAGAAGCGGGTTCAGAAGATTGTTTACCGTTAATCATAGCTCTTAGAAAGAAATCACAATCTACTGAATCAGAATCGACAGGTTTTCCGATATTCGAGTTTGGAATCAGTCAGAACGATTGTGATGGTGCATCATTGCGCTACTTTTCCTTTTCTATAAGTTGACATATCTTGTTTATTATCAACAACTAGGCTGAGATTTAAAATAAAACATGGCAGTTGAACTAGCTTGTGTCAGTAGCGGGATTTTCGGCACATGTCGCAGCGACACGCCTTCGCTGTCAGGATCTCTATTTCATCATGGTGACGACCTTGAGGACAGTCCAGGCGAACTTTGACCTAAAAAACACATAAGACCAACAGGATAGGATTAGTAACATGGCGCTCTGCAAACTACCTTATACTCAACACGTTCTCTTTATAGTCCATTTTTATCCCCACCGCTTCTCACCTTAGCCTCTCTGCTGATGGTGCAGCATTGGGATGCAGAGGTGATGTTGTGTGTGAAGTTGGAGGCCACCAATACAGAGTACCTGGATGGGAAGGCACTGGACTCGCAGTAACCCACGCATGCGTAGACCAGATGGGTGCCTTTACACGTGCCACGCCGGTCGCTGCGGATGGTTACGTTAAAGGCTAGAAGAGGAGAGGAAGTGTGTCAGGGAGTATGGAGGACAAGCAGATGACTCTTAAACTGTACTGTTGTCTCGTGAATCTCTAACAAATTTAGCATGGCACCCTTGGGGATCTCTAATAATTTGTCACTTCCTGTTGGAGGTTAGACTGCAAAATATTATTGTGTGAAAGAAAAAACTGTAAGATTTTCATCCCAAACACTCAATAAGTAACTCTATGCAGTGATAGTAAATGTGCTTGCAGGAAAATGAAAGCTAAAGGTAGGTGTCCCCCATTTTTTCCATCCATCCGTTTTTCTCCGCTTAGTGTCACGGGGGCAGCAGCTTAAGGAGAGAAGCCCAGACTTCCTTCTCCCCAGCCACTTGGGCCAGCTCCTCCAGGAAAATCCCAAAGCATTCCCTGGCCAGCCAAGAAACGTAGTTCCTCCAGCGTGTCCTAGTTCTTCCTTTGACTCTCCGCCCGAAAGGACGTGCCTGGAAAACCTCACTAGGGAGGCGTCCAGGAGGCATCCTAACTAGATTCCCGAGCCACCTCAACTGGCTCCTCTCGATGTGGAGGAGCAGCAGATCTACTGCGAGGCCTTCCTGGATGAACGAGCTTCTCGTCCTGAAGCCTGATTTATACCTGTCAGTTCCACAGAGAGACGCACACACATTGACAGAGAAATTTTGCTCTCAGACTTCTCCATCCCCTGAGGAATGTTGCAAAGCAATTTTCTACCAGGACAACAGAGGGCGTAGCACTTTTCTGCGGTATCATGCCACCATTACACTCGTGTAACCAGTCCATGATACTGTATTTACTAATGTGTTTACATATTTCAAGGACTTTATTACACGGACATATTTGTCCTTCATTCATCTCCACTTCTTCATGCGGTCACCACCTCCAAACCATGCTCTAAAACCATTTCTGTCCTTGAAAAAATTTTTTGCTTTGTATTTTTAAACTACTTCAGTCATGGGTGAATAAACATTCATATTCTATTACTTTTTCCGCGATGCGTTCTTCAATCTGTTCCGTGTCTGCCGCTAAATAACCTTTTACTTTTTGACAGGGCTGTTAAAGGCGAGTTAACCATGTTAGCTTAAACTCATGTGCTAACATCACAATATAGTACTGATTACTATCGTGTACCAGACAATTAAAATAGTATCAGTCAGTTAATATAATATTAATACTCATGAGCGTCTGTCAGTGGTCTCATACTCGCTAATATCCGTTCACCTAACCTAGTTTAACGTAGAGAGAGACGCCTGTGATCCGGTTCTGGAGCTCATGCGGGCTTCTGTGAGCTGGATCTGACCCAGACACCAACGAGCCAGTGGAGCTGGTATTTTTAAAAGCCGTGCATCATCTCCTGGTGGTCCAGGCGGCGGTTCTGATCTGGTTCCGACCCGGAAATCAGCTGGCCCGCTGAGCCGCGCGTCTCTTCTGGTAGTTGGTTCTGACCTGGTTCTGACGGTGATCGGAGCTCCAGAAATCCTCATTTAATTTTTTAAACCCCGCCTCGGGTCTCCGGAGCCAAGCGCGGACCTCCCTGACCCGGTACCGACCAACGCGGGCTACAGAAGTCCATCTTTCAGCTGCAGAAACGCCCTCAGGCACGGAGATAGAGGTGTTGCTCCTCTGATCTGGAAACCCGTGGACTCGATGTCCAGACAGGCTGCAGTTGGTACCGCCTTCACACACTCTAGTTTATCAACATGAACACAACCCAACACTAGTAAACACACACTGACTGGATCACATGACCTCTCTACCCTAAAACTAGCCACTCTCCACACTGAGCTGAGGCAGCCGAGCTTCTGACTCCCTTTGGTTACGTCAGAGGTTCACATTTAGAAACAAGCTTGGCTGAGAAAGGTCCGGTTCTGCTAGAAATCTCTGCTGTTATGTATTTTAAAACCAAATATCCACAATAAGCTTTTTAAATAGCATTTTTTGGACAGCGTTTTATATGAATTAGAAAAAAAATTTAACCTGCAATTTGCTCTTTAACTCATTTAAAGGAAGCAGCGTCCTGATCAATCACAAGTTTGCAGTCTCTGTCACTTATTTAACAATTTAGGCATGTCTCCTTCAGCCTCTGTGAGCCAACACATTACTGGCTTTGCCTGTCTCCGTACAGACGCAGACAAAGAAGTATAAATCATGCTTTATGGAGAGCCCATTCACCCTGTGGAGAAAACTAATTTCAGCCGCTTGTATCCGTGATCTCGTTCTTTTGGTCACTACCCAAAGCTTGTGAGCATAGGTGAGTGTAGGAACGTAGACCAACCGGTAAATCGAGAACTTTGCCTTCCGGCGAAGCTTTCTTTTCACCAGACACAGCACCAATCAGCCTGTTGATCTCATGAACCAGACCCTGAGATACTTAAACTCCTCCACTTGGGGCAGGATCTCATCCCTGAACTAGAGAAGGCATTCTACACTGAAACGCAACACTTTTGTTTTTGCTCCAATTTTTCATGAGCTGAACTCAAACATCTGAAAATTTGTCTTCATCCACAAAAGACCCATGACTCTCAAATATTGTTCTGAAATATGTCTACATGTGTGTTAGTGAGCACTTTTCCTTTACCAAGACAATCCATTACACCTCACAGGAGTGGCATATCAAGGGGCCGATTAGACAGCATGAATAATGACTGGTGTAGACACATTTCAGAACAGTATTTGAGACTCATGGGTCTTTTTTGCATGTAGAAAAAGTTTCAGATATTTGAGTTCAACTCATGAAAAATGGGAGCAAAAACAAAAGTGTTGCGTTTATATTTTAGTTCTGTGTAATTTTTTACAACTCACGACCATGGTCTCAGATTTAGAGGAGCTGATTCTCATCCCAGCTGCTGGAGATGACTTTCTGATGAAGCCAACAGGACCACATCGTCTACAAAAAGCAGAGAAGTGATCCTTAGGCCACCAAAACAGATTCCTTCTCCAACTTGGCCTGTCTATAAGCGTTATGGTGTTTCCACGTATAAATGCATCACTTCTTCGATATCTATGATGATTATACTTTGATTGGCTTGTCTAGTGTTGGCGGGGTTGTTGGCTTCTGTTTCTACTGCTGAATAGACTTGTGTGTTACTCTCAGCTGATTCAGAGGCCATATAAATTAAGTGAATAATCAGTGTATAAATCCAGAAAAGAAAGAAACGTAAAGAAGTTTATGGAAAACCGCAAACTACTAAAATGATGTCATTTTCATTTGTTGTATATTTTTACATACGAGTGAGGGTAGGAGGGATCGGGAGATCGACAGGCGGATTGGTTCGGCGTCTGCAGTGATGCGGACGCTGAGCCGGTCTGTCGTGGTGAAGAGGGAGCTGAGCCAGAAAGCCAGGCTCTCGATTTACCGGTCGATCTACGTCCCAATCCTCACCTATGGTCATGAGCTTTGGGTAATGACCGAAAGAACGAGATCGCGGATACAAGCGGCCGAAATGAGTTTCCTCCGTAGGGTGGCCGGGCTCAGCCTTAGAGATAGGGTGAGGAGCTCGGACATTCGGGAGGGACTCGGAGTAGAACCGCTGCTCCTCCGGATCGAAAGGAGTCAGTTGAGGTGGTTTGGGCATCTGGTCAGGATGCCTCCTGGACGCCTCCCTGGGGAGGTGTTTCGAGCATGTCCCTCCGGCAGGAGGCCCCCGGGTCGACCCAGGACACGTTGGAGAGGTTACATCTCCAATCTGGTCCGGGAACGCCTTGGGGACCTGCCGGAGGAGCTGGTGGAGGTGGCCGGGGAGAGGACGGTCTGGAGCTCCCTAGTCGGGATGCTGCCCCCGCGACCCGGACCCGGATAAGCGGAGGAAGACGACGACGTATATTTTTATTACCTATTCGGCCTGGGCAGTTTTATGGTTAGTAATGATTCGAGTGTGAGAAAAGTAATTTTGGTTTTACTTATTCTCTTAGAACTCGTAACTGTTGCCACCTTTAAAGGTGAACTCTAAATGTTTCATATTTCTGTATTCACCAGAAAAATCATGTGTCCCTCTCATAAGGTGCAGGTGAAGAAATCTGATTAATCTCTGGTGCTTCCGTCATTAAAGCTTCAAATTAGGCTAAAAGGAGGTTTTCTGAATTATTATTTATGGTTTGGTATGATTCATGGTTAATATCTTGTCTTTAAACTCACGAAACATGTGACATCCTGGAGTACGGCTGTCATGGCTCCAACCCAGAGGAGAGAAGAGCAGCAGCAGTGAGATCAGAGGCAGAGCCAGGAAGCAGATGTGTGACACTGTGCACTGCAACATCTGGATGGACCAAAAAAGATGGTGTTACTGGAAGAGTACAGGATGTCAAACCAGCAAAGCATCTCTGCTTGAATAAAGTTTAATTTTAAAACAGACATTTTAAAGTTTTTTCTTCTGTTCACATCACTGAAACACGTTTTCTTTGACATTTCCAGACTGAGATCACCAGGTAGGTTTTCATCCCCCACAGAAAAGGTGATTTCCCCTCCTGCAGGACCGTGTCTATGTGTCACCTGGCTGACAATCACCTGATGCGAGTAAAAACAATCCTGTCTCTACGTTTTTAGTCTGCCTCATCGAACAGTTACCTGCCAACACATGCACGCTAGCAGCTTCAGCGTGGACACATGCAGAACCTAGCAGCATCACAGCATTTACCGTTTTCACCTTTATGTTGGTTACAGTTAGCAAAACATCCACTTATTGTCGTGAACTTGGCAGAGGACCGTAAGGACACCAGAGCACAGTTGGCGGTGGTAAACAGTTTTTATTAGCCTGAAGCTAAGAGGAGATGTTTCCGGAGTGGAGTTCAGGTAAAGGCAGCGTCTAGGACAGACGTGGGTCGGAACCAGGCAGAGACAAAGCAGCTTTGAGGAGCAGGCGATGGACCACCGGAATGGGCCCGGTGGAAGGCGTGGACGAGGGAGCGGTCGACGAAGTGACGGGCAGGAACCCAGGACCGCTCCTCGGGACCAAGCCCCTCCCAGTCGACCAGGTAATGCAAGCCGCGACCCCAGCACCGGGAGCGGAGGATCCATCGGACAGACCACACCGGGCCGTCAGGCTGGAGCCAGGCAGGAGGAGGGGGCCCAGAGGTGGGCAACAGGACCGATGAAACCACTTGATCTTTGAGACGAACAAAGGATGGATCCGTAGAGTGCGGGGTAAGGCGGAGACGAACCGCAGCAGGGTTCAGGACCTTGGAGATGAAGAAGGGTCCGATGAATCTGGGGGACAACTTCCGACAGTCCACCCTGAGAGGAACGTTTACTGAGGACAACCAGACCCTCTGGCCCACCCCATACATGGGAGCCAGAACACGCCGCCTGCTGACCGAGCGGGCGTAGACCTCCGAGGCGTGAAGCAGGCGATGCCTGGCAGACTATCAGACGCGGCGACATCTGAGGGCGGAGTGGAGTTCAGGTAAAGGCAGAGTCTAGGACAGACGTGGATCGGAACCAGGCTGGGACGAAGCAGATGTAAGAAGCAGGTGAGAGACATGGTCGAGGACAGGCGTGGATTAGAACAAGGTAGGTACAGGACGTGTTTGTGGGCAGGCGTAGGTCATGGAGGCAGGCAGAGTTCTTGGCGAGGGTCAAGTGTGAAATTAGGTTGGTAGACGATGATCAGGCAGGATGAAAAGGCTGGAAGATCTACTAGCAGGCGCACTCAATAATCTGGCAGGTTGATGGTGGTAGACTGTGGAATATATAGCTGGTGAGGCAGGTGTGTGGCATGAGCTTGATGAGGGGACCAGGTGTGATGCATGAAGGCTGATGAGGTGGATGGAGGTCAGGACATGGCAGGATCATGACACTTATACGCAAGATGCACATGTGCTGGCCTCCTCACTCCCACGTTTGGAAAGAGAAAGTCATATTTTCCTGGGAAGTTGGTGGTCCTGACCTTTGCCCTCTAGTTTGGCAGCTTTGGGACGCCCCGGAGATGCCGTCAGCTCCATCAAATTAACAGCTCAATCAGGATGGTGTGTGTGTGTGTGTGTGTGTGTGTGTGTGTGTGTGTGTGTGTGTGTGTGTGTGTGTGTGTGTGTGTGTGTGTGTGTGTGTGTGTGTGTGTGTGTGTGTGTGTCAGCTGGTGGGAAAGGAAGGGAATGCCTTCTTCTGCTCTCATGTGGGGGTTTTGTCTCCAGTTTGGTTTGTCTTTGAGGGTAAATATTATTTCAGCACACTTTGGGAGGTATACTCTCTCATAAAAAGTTTCTAATTAAAGTGTTTTTTAGTACATTTTAGGTGAAAACTGAACACCCTGTAAAAGTACTGACAGACCCGACAACTCGAGTAAGATTCATTCATATGTGGATTTATAAGAGAAGAACTCTTTAAACTAGGAATAAATATACTAACATTGTCTAATTCTTAATTTCAGATACCGATAAAAAGTCCTCCTCCAACAAAAAAATGAAAACTAAATCATTCTAACATCACATATCTGACATAAATACTTAAACTTTAAACATTATCTGTCTAAAATACGTCAACCACTTAAATTTAAGTTAGGCAACGGAAGAAAGTACCATAATGATTTAGTCTCCAACAGCAGCTGAATCACATTCTCCCTCAGATAATCAACACCCACTAGACGGGGTAGATTTCTACTTCTTTACACAATAAAACAACATTACCTCAGATCTGTCGTTTTATGACATTTTGAGTGAGAGAAGTAAAGGTTGTGTCATTGAACTGATCCTTTCAGATGTTACATTTTAATGCCAATATAGGTCGGACCGACTTTAAAAGCAAGTTTCAGTTTTAATTTAGTAGAAATAGGATATGAAATTTTACATTTAGTAAAGGAATGCATGTCACCCGCCACGTTTAATGTCAGTTTAAAAGTCGGACCATCTAATGCGGAGAAATGATGGATTTGTAGCCATTTCACTCAAATTCCCACAGAATGTTTTCAAAGTTTTCCTTCGGGAATGCGAGGTTTTGCATGATCACTTATTATGTGCAAAGCTGCGCCGTTCAGGGCCACTTCGGGGCTTGTTAAGTGAATTAGCCACTCTGACCTGGGTTCACCCCAAAGTGAAGCAACCCTCTGATTGGTTCTGAGAGTTTCACCAAAATCCGCTGAATTAGATATTTCAATAACAACCCAAATGAAACCGGACTGTTTTATTAGTTGCTCTCAGTTATTCATCAAGTCAGGTGGCATAAATGTTATGTTTTCATTTTAAAATATCTGTCCTCAGCAGTCAGCGACTGCAGTATGTATGCACTCATTAACATCTTAATGTTGTTTATTTATTCCATATTTATTTTGTTTATATCTCAGTAACATGATTTTTTCTCATATGCCTCTGACAGCCTGCTGAAAGTCAATAATTAAAGCTTTTCGTACAGTTACCTAATTTCCTAAATTATTTCATAATTTAAAACGTTAAATACGAGTAAATAAAACTTTTAGGAAAAGATTCAAACATGATTCTACTCAAAATGTAAAAAAATACACCCTATTTTGTTCAGAAATCATCATTCAGGCGTTACTAATGTTCAAAATAACCTGTTATCAATATTAATGTGCATCATGTTTAATTTACGTTCATTACTGAGGATAAAACCCATTAGAAAAGCTTCAGATTCTCACTGACAAGTTATTTCCATTCCATGAAGCAGTTCTTACCTGGACAGGTGTGTGTTCTCAGGAGGAGGTGTGTTGTCTGGTAGGTGAGCTTCATACAGAGATATAAGCACTTGCAGCTCCTGACACGCCCACGCTAACACACACACACACACACACACACACACACACACACACGAGTGTGCTCTCTCCTCCTTTGCTGCAAATCCTTTTACCTGCACAACCGAATCCTCCACCAGAGTTCAGAGGCTCCATCTCATCCGCCCGTTTTAAACCTTCAGGAGCGTGACCTGCCGCTGACTCTCACACAGAGGAAAACTAGATAGGTTTTCCATCAGTGCAGAACACACACACACACACACACATGCACAGCTCTACCTCACCTCGCAGAGACTCACACATGTAAAAACACACATGTATGCACAGAAAATGATCATGATGCTCATTCTGAGCAGATACTAATGAGACAAATCAAGGCTGAGTTTTCCGTCTGTAGCTGCAGGAGGAAGGCCACAACCGGGTCAGGGTCTGCAGTGTGTGTGTGTGTGTGTGTGTGTGTGTGTGTGTGTGTGTGTGTGTGTGTGTGTGTGTGTGAACACATGGTTTGTATATTGTTGATAAAAGCTGGCTCTGCTTCTCCTCTTCTTCATCTTGAAATGAGATTGACCTTATAGCCACCATCTTCACCAGACTAGTCTTTTTATAGATGATATAGATTTATTGAATAAATCTATTCATCAGCAAAAACCCAAACTACCAATTCAAGTCACTAATGTGTAATTTAGACAAAGTTCAGTTAAAAAAAAGCAAATTTGCCTCTTTTATGACATTTAAAGGACTCGGAGATTCAGGTTTTCAGCTCACTGTTCTGCATTATTTTGGGTAGTTTTACTGGGTGTTTGTTTTGTAAAGCGCTTCGTTTTTGGTCTTTATTCCTCTACTTGTGGTTTTTCTTCTGGAGAAGATACAACAGAGAGATGAATGATGTGAATGAGCTGCAGCACATCATCAGCAGGACAGGAACACTGAAACACAACACAGTGACTCAGCGAGGTGACTGGTGTTTGTATCGTTCCCTGGTCCTGTCGCGTTCAGTTACCATGGAAACGGTGGATTCGCTGATGATCTCATTAAATGTGTCCGCTTCCACTTAAGCTCTATTATTTTAATCTGAGTGAGTTAGTTTGTGTTACATCATATCCGTCTTCTCATGTGGCAGTGGATGAATGGTGTGTGTGTGTGTGTGTGTGTGTGTGTGTGTGTGTGTGTTTAGGCACTTTGTCAAAGTAAAGAGAGGATTAAGTAAAGTTTTCCTGTTTTTAACACAATGTTTTTGGTCCCGTTAATCTATTTATCCCCATCTGTAAAAAGCACCCACAAACGGAAATAATCCCCAGCCATCTTGTTTTATTCTGTCAGAATATTATTATGACATAATATGAACGTGTTTTCTTATGTCAGTTTTTTATATGTTTGAATATAAGTACTAGTAACATAATTTAATAGACTAAACCCCAAAAATGAATATGCCGAAACAACTTGTCACACACCAGTTTCTCATTCAATCATTATTTAAACCAAAACCAGATCAAATAAATTTAGAAAATGTCTCTGAATAAAAGATTGTCGTGTTTTTGAATGGCCTGAGGGAATTAAGTATTGATCTGGCCTTTAAGCTCTGTAGTTTTCTGCAAGAGGACAGGGGTACCCCTTAATTATACAAGATTTTATCATCTGCAAACATGATGATTTTTTACATGGCAGTTACAGGAGCTCCTAAAATCACTTCAACTAATTATAAATGTCCCATGACCGAGTCTTGTGGAACGCCTCAGTAATAAAGTCTAGTTTATATCACAGAGATACGCAACACCCTGATCCGCGACACACGTGCTCTGAGGCAGGGCCACAGAGAATGACGAGGACATGCCAAGTTTTTAACCTGCCCATCAAGAGCTAAGAAGAGTACAAGCTTGCAGTCTGTCAGCGCACCACTTCCTTTAAATCCATCAACAGCACCACTCTTGAAAAACAATGAGTGCCAGAGATATCTATTGGCAGACAAGGAACAAATCTGAGAACATTTTGTGGAAGAACTTCGTGTTTGCAGCCGCAAACGAAACGTTGCAGGTAAATAAAACCTTTTCTGTGTTTTAAAAAGAACTAAAAGATTAAATCAGTTTGATATGTGTCATGGATTTGATGTTTTAAAAACATTTTGATGGCAAGAAAACACCTTTCTTCGAAAAGTGGCAAAAGTTATTTTAGGTTTTGTGTGAAAAGACGGGTAGGACTACAAATGTTTGTCTCACCATATTGATGTCATCGAACCAGACACAGAGGATAAAATGGCTGTGGGTTTAGCCAATCTTTCCTCCAGGATGACAGAAGGAGCATCAAACATGGAGAAAACCACTATAAATCTGGCCATGTGGTAAGTAGCAGCTATGCTAGGAGAGAGGAGATTTTGTGGTGATGTTATTAATGCGACGTCTGATTTGTAGTCATATTGATTTTGGATTTTTATGAGCGGATAATTCTCTAAGTAAAGACAGACATAGATGAAACTCACATCTAGGGTCGTCACGGTGTGAAAATTTAACCTCACGGTTATTGGGACCAAAATTACCACGGTTTTCGGTATTATCGCGGTATTTTTTAAACGTGTTACATTTTCAGACAACTAAATAAACCCTGTATATCAGGAAAATATTGTCCTCAGTTTGTGTCTAAATTTAGCCTAAAATGTGTTATTTTGTAATGATGTTGTTTATTTGTTTACATTTTTCCTCTTTAGTCTTTAAAATACCAATATTTACCCATAACTTCTTATTTTTTGTCTGTTTGATGTCATCATTTTAAAAATATTAGATCAGATGATACTCAGTACTCAAGTAGCCTTCTAATCAGATACTTTTTTACCCTTACTTGAGTAATAAACCCTATATCAGGAAAATATTGTCCTCGGTTTGTGTCCTTCCAGTGAGCTTTGCAGATGTGGGAAATGTCATCAGGCAGTAATCGTTGTTAAATTCATAATTATTCTCGGAGAGAGACCAACTCTTATCTGCCCCTGGGAGCCCCGTAATGCATAGCGTCATTTCAACATGGCGGTGTCCGCGACACGGTTTATATGCAGGTAGCGGCGCTGCGGCTGCTTTATATAGCCACTCGTTGCATTCTCCCTCAACCCAAATCCTCGGATCACGCATTTTAGCTAAAACGCTAACGTTAGCTTGCCTTGCGTTGACTGTAGAGTTGTGGGTGATGGTCACGCAGATGTGTCATGAGATTTGAAGCGTTGCTGCCTTTCACAGACACTTTTTCTGCACGTGCTGCAAACAGGATAGTCGTCTTCTATCAGCTGTCCCTCGGCATTCTTCAGATATCCAAAAGATGCCCGTACTTCCCACTTTGTCTTCTTTGAGGGATAAAAAATGTCCTGAGCACTGCCGTCTCCTCCTTTGGTCATTATTTCAGCTTTAGCGTCCAGAAAGTTTTGGTTGTAAACAACAAAGTGCGCATGTGCCACCGGCATCAGCAGATGATACGGTGGCTGGTAAGGGTCACCGCGCCTACACCGCAGCCACGGTAACCCACCGAGATAATAACCGTCTTGTTTTAAAAAAAATATATTATTGTTAACTTTTTTCCGGGGTTTACCGCTACACCGGTTACCGTGACAACCCTACTCACATCATTTATTTTTATTTTTATTCAAGTACAACATATGTGTGATTCAGGGCGTAAGGCAAAGCAGATTAGAAAATAGCTTTCATAGCTCCGTTCTGCGGCGGCGTAGAGCTGCCACCCACACTACTGTACATAAAATTGGAGCGATATCACGCATTTGGCTTTTTGGGGGGATTTCTTTGGTCCAGGGACCCATGATCTGACCGGAAGGGGAGGAGACCACTTAGGGAAGTGGATTTTCCATTATGGTGTACTCAGTGAAGCTCAGTGAAAAAGGCAAAAACACACAGAGTACTACAAATATAAAGACAACCATGCTTTATTAAAATTACATAGGACTTTGTTTAAGTAAGAAAGCAGATGTGTTCGAAAGGCTGTAAACCACATAAGTGATTTTTGTTGGTAACCAAGTCTTCGGGTTTATCAGCATTTTGTGTCAGGAGTTAGATAAAAACAGTATTTTATTTTAAAGGGATAAAATATTATAGAATGATAAAATAACTGGTGAGAAAAAAGTAAGGATAAGACAACTAACTGTAGAAAACACAAGAGACGAGTGATGAGCGGATAAAAAAAGGTGGGCTGGGTCGGAACGGGAAGGAGTGAGTATGAAGCCAAAAGAGATCCACCAGGTTGGGTCCGTCAGAACGTCTCACACTCCGTGTCCTGTGTGGAGCAGATGGAGCAGTGGCAGTGCAGCGCCATGGGGTAGTGGTACAGAGCTGAGACGTTGGGCTGGCAGCCCGGCAGGCGGGCCGTCATGTGTCGGATACGACTGTAGGTGCACACGCGGTGGTGTCGGTGGATGAACGGGGGCTCAAGTATGGGTCTCTGCAGGGGTCACAAACAAAAACACCTGAGCATTAATCATCATGCTATTTTTTAGGAATGCCATCGCTAATGGGATTGTCTGTGTTTCGGTAGTTTAAATTATTTGATGAACTTGTCAGTTTTGTTCCACACAAGAGTTTACATGAAACTCTGTTAATGAGCGTTAATGTCACCCGCAGCTATTCTGACTCCTCCAGAGGCCAGCTCCTGCAGGAGTTTGTTTAAACGTCTTCAGAAATAAACATGTTATATAAACATGTTATATATAAATCAATTAAAATGTAAAGATGTATTAAATAATTTCATCATCCTGTCATGAGGAGAGTGGAGCCTTTAGGCTTGTTCTCAGACTAGCCGTTAGCTCATCATTCCTGAAGGATTTCTCTAAACAGAGGTTGTTCATGAAGCTTTAAACTCTTCAAACATTTTAAATGACTGTAAGGCAACACTTGTCTCTATTAAGACAGAAAAATACATTAAAATGCATTTTACAGTTTTACAAAACCTCATTTTTACAATCTAGTATTTTCTCATTGATAAAATGGAAAATGATGTTATGTGTTCAGACTTTGCCAAATAAACAGAGAGAGAGAGAGAGAGAGAGAGAGAGAGAGAGAGAGAGAGAGAGAGAGAGAGAGAGAGAGAGAGAGAGAGAGAGAGATTTCCCAAATTTGATTTCTGAGTAGATCATGCGGTGTGTTCTACCTCCCAGGTGTGACAGCGCCCCCAGCAGGCTTCTGTGGTGATGTGCAGCCCCCTGCAGCCGGGCTTAAAAGCCACAAAGGAGAAATCACGCACTGCGCAGCCCCGGAAGCTTTGGAGCGTTGTTGTCATGGAGACAGACATCACAGCTGCCACGGCAACTAGGAGGATGAGAACGGAGAGGGATGGAGGATGGAAGGGCATGCTGGGAAGGATGGGAACGCAGACAGTTTTGTGGCTGGTTTATGATAAAAGCTGGTTTTGTTTCTTATTGATAATAAAATATTTTATAAATCTTAATGATTTTATTTAAAATTCACCAGTCGTTTACACACAATTTAAAAGACTAAGTTTCACCTTTAAACTTTAACAAATGCTTAATAAAATGTGCCGGGAGCACTACGTGACCTTCAGCGCCATCTAGCGGTCCATATGGTTACTGCAGCAAAATCAACTTTTCCTTCTTTCATTTTAAGCATAAATAATTAAATCCTTTTCATTTACAACTCCAGTCCACATTTGTTATTTCTTCTCCATCCAGTGCTCTTAAGGCTCTTCTAATGTCAATACTTAATATCATTTCCTCACGATGCTTCTACATAATCACATCTTCATTAGATAAAGGTCACTCACACTTCAATGAAAACCAATAAAAACGAATCATCTTTAAAAGGACTCAGCCTCTTGTAGAAAACAGGAAGCTGCATTAATATTATAAAATAAATCTGCTCTGCTGCTTTTTGATGTAAAATCATTTAAATCTGCTTCTATTAAACTGTTAAAGAGCGACTCTCACCTTTTAATCCTGTCCAGAGCAGAGCTGCTGGTGTCCTGTTCGGGGCAATCTGGTGAATGGAACCAGTCTGTTGCTGTTGTTTTTAGGAGACCATTTGGGCAGACGGACACGCTGACATCACACCAATTACAACGAAAATCATTAGAGACCCCAAGACGGAAATAATAGAAAGTTCCAGGAAATAATGAGACTTGTCTGTGTTTTCTTACCCTCAACCTGCATCTGTGTGTTTGAGAGAGACGGCATTTCTGTGACAGAACCCTATAAAATTAAATCTATTTCTGCAACTTTTACTACATTTTAGAAAAATATATAATATAGCATGTATATTCTATACCCCCCCACCCCCCACCCCACCCCCACAAACGCGCTTTATTGCACCCATGGTCACTCGCCCACACACACTCACACACTTTTATGAGCCACAGCTGCCCTGGGGCGTACTGACGGAGACAAGGCTGCCATGCTCTGGGGTCACTCTGAACACCACCAGCAGCCATGGAGGATTAAGTGTCTTGCACAATAATTCTGCCAGTTTAAATGTGGAATATTTTAATTTATTTCACCTCATTCATAGATTTAGGTGAATATTTCCTTAAAGCATTAAAGGCAGTTGGCGCCTGGAGGTATTAACCATTTAAAGGGAACTCACTGCAATCCTTGGAAAATCTCATCCTTCCGATATCATTGGAGGATGTTAACCTTTATCTTTTTTTATTCTGACATTTTACAGTTTATCTAATCCTCTACTTATTTGTGTTTTTCATACTTTTTCCTCTTTTTTATTGTTAAATACATTTTTTTTTCAAATTTCCTAAAGTTTTTGGTTTCAGCTTCAAATTAAAATCACCCAAAACGACCACTCTCCCTTCAGCAAGCTAAAGCTGATAAAACGAGTGCTTGTGAGTTTCCGTAGAGGATCACAGTGCAGGGAGACATTTTATCCACAAAGACCATGGGGTTGGTCTTGTTCCTGCAAACAGACCAACAAATAGCACCGGCCTGTTTTATAAACAAACATTGCTGCTTGTGAACGCTGATTTTTGTTTAGCAACGCTGCGTTACACATGACCAACACCATTAAACAGCAGCGTGTCATGATTTTTATGACTGGGTTCTTAAGTAAGATGAGAGACAAAAGGCCTGTTCCCACTATCGGAACGTACGAGGACATTTACCAAACCTTTGCAGCATGAGCGCCTTTCCATTTCTACAGAAATCTTAAAGGAACACTTTTCTGGGACACGTCAGGGACAAACTGAACACCTGAACTGGGGTGTGTACTAGGAAAGGCTCCATGCAGTCGCTAGGCAGGACTTGTGGTTAACTCCTGGTGACTCAGTAGGAAATGACATTGGTTGATGTCGCCAGAACAACCGGCATTTATAAGAGTGGAAGAGCTGCTACTCAAGCAGAATGGAAGGAAAAGAAATTCACGCTGCGATCCTGCCTCTTTAAAATTGCCGTTTTAAACTTCCAACACCTAAAAATCTGGCACAAAAGCCGCCACAAAGTTGGTGCTTAGTAGTCTACGGAGCGCTGTAGAAACTGGCTCGCTGCTTTGTGCATCACACAGCTGCTCTCCTGGTCCTCCAAATGGGTTACGTCACAGCTAAAGTAAAACCAGGAAGAGTGAGTCAACAGTAGCGATGGGTACCGAATTCGGTACTTTTTAAGGTACCGACCGAATTCCATAGTACCGACTGAGCACCGATTCACGTCATTTGAAACGGTGCCTCGTTTCGGTACCCGTCCATCATAACGATAACTTGCCTAGACAGCTGCACATGCGCAAGAGCGTTATGTCGTCGGTCACTGCGAGCGAGTTGTAAACAGAGCAGCATGGTAGAAAGAACGCACGCTAAAGCTTGGGTCCACTTCACTAAATGTGATGGGTAACTGGGTGATGATGAAACCAGCGACAACGATCTAAGTGAGACATCCTCATCTTAATCTGCTCCGGTAGGTAAATATAATGTTTAAGATAACGCTAGCTTGATATGTTAGCTTCCGTTTCGCTAATGGTGCGTTCACTTTCTCCTCGGAACTCCGAATTTTTGACTGGAAGGACATGAACGCGCTCTAAAGTTTGGCTTCACTTTACTAAATGCGACGGGTGATTGGGTGAAGATGAAACCAGCGACAACGATGTAAGTGTGAGGCATCATCGTTTTAATCTGCTCCAGCAGCTAAATAAACAGTTTAAGATAACGTTAGCTTGATATGTTAGCTTCCATTGCCACCGTTGTTATCAGCTAATGATGCGTTCGCTTTCTCCTCGGAAATTCTAACTTCCCAGTAGGAAAAATCTAATGAAAAGGACGGCAAAAGGAATGAAGACACACAGTAAATTTAGTTCACAGTAAAGATGTTTGCTTCAGTTTAATTATCAGCTTATAAAACTACAAGGACGATGTTAAAATACAAACAGTTGTATGTTATTTATCGTGATATTTATCAAATATTGTTATATATTGAGAAAAATATATATTTAATTATAAAAGAGAATTAAAATATTAAACACTCAAAAGTATCTAAAATTGGTACCGTTAAGTACCGGTATCGATTCCTAGGTACCGGCAATTAGTACCGAATCGATTCAAATGTCAAAGGTACCCATCCCTAGTCAACAGTTGAGATCAGGAGCTGAGTATTGCCTAGACCAGGGGTAGACTACTCCCTTCCCTAAAGGCTAGTATCCAGCATGTTATAGTTGTCTTCCTGCATCAACACACCTGATTTGAATGAGCAGGCGATTAACAGGCTTTGGCAGAGCTTGATGAGCTGCTGAATCAACTGTCTTAGAGCACGGAAACAACTAAAACATGCTCAGGGAAGGGAGTTCTACCCCTGGCCTAGGCTATCTGATACTGATCAGTGACCAGAACTCAGATCCGATACTGGATCTGATGTTTACTATTTAGTCAAATATCTGCATTAGTGTGGAAAATCCACACGGATAGGAGAGCAAAAGCAACATGAAAGTTGAAGCTGCACGAATCCTGACAGCAATACACATTTTAAACTCCGCCCCCTCTGATATTTTCTGTTGGTTCCTTTAGTTTTTGCTAGGCTGCATGTTCAAAAATTCACTTTTTCCAAGAGCTGTAATTATTGGATGCCTATGTGAGAGGAGGCGGGGCTTGTAGACTGACTTCTGGTGGCTTCTTAAAGAGACAGAAGCCCAAAATAAATGCTTTCAGTGGCATAAGTGATGAGAGAAAAGTGACAACACACAAAAACAACACAGACTCTCAGTGTTTTCTCAAAGTGAAGATTCATTTTTTTAGCACATAGATTTTTTTCCTCCATTCTACATCCCTGTTATGTAACATACAGTAGTAAGCTTCTCTACATTCAAATCCCCCCTCCCCTCTGGTGTGTTGGTCCCCAAAATATACATCTTCTTCCTCCTCTTTCTCACCTTCTCTATGGTTTTTTTCCTCCAACATAAACAAACACAGATCATTGGGCAGACAGTGCAAATCTAGAAATCCTGTGAAATTCCTACGTAATGCAGTTGTAGCTTTATTAACATTAGATTCTCGTCCTGTAGCTCTGACTTATTGCCGTGCCTTCACGTCGAACTGTTTTCCCCTCCTCATTTTACTGCCTGTTTTCATTCATCACGTCCACCTTCAGATTTAAAGCATGTTTTTATTTATTTGTCCCAATGAACATGGCCAAAGAGGAAAGGTGGCCTCAGGTGATACCAGCGTCCATCTCTCTTGATTAGGGAGAGGGAATGTTGTCATATTTTCTATCTGTTTAAAAATAACAAAGAACGGCGGGGTTTTTCTCAGTTCAGCAATCTGCTGATGTTAGCAATCACAGATTATTTAGAACTGAGCGACCACAACTTATAACAAACCGGGGAAAAGGTTCCGTGTCAGTGACTTTGTATATTTTTGGCCCTTTTTGGAGGTATTTGCGAGCGATGTTTGCCTGAATCATGACAAAGTTTTTAAGAAATGTCCTTCGGTAAATGTTGTAGGTTTAATCCCTGGAAATCCGGATAGATGTTATATGATGCCGATGCTGTTAATAACAACTGAACTTGCTCTTGAATACGTTTGGATTAACATTAAGGTGTTATGGCAACAAGATCGGGCAGATTCAGTCTCATCAGGGCTAGGGTTCCTGTTTCTAGGAGTTGTTATAAAGCTTATTAGTAACTGAAAGTTATTATTTTGAATGTTTTTGATTAGGAACTCATTGGGAGTTAGAGGATTTGAAGAGTCTTGTTGTTAAACATGTTTTGTGACTTTGTGGATTTAAAATTTTCATACATGAAACAGGAAATAACAGCCTGAGATTACGAGCAATGTAAGAATTCATTGAGCTACATCAATTATATGTCATCGATCCAAAATGCAAAAATCGAAATAATAACTATTTACCAAATACAATTTTATTTTGAAAATTGCTTTATTTTGAAGTTCCACTAATATTCCGTTTTCCACCTGGTCCTGCACATCACCAAAAGTGTTAAATGAAAAAGCTAGCAGCATTAGAAGCTACAGCGTTAGATGGCAGTAACGTTAGACGCTAGCTCCATTAGAAACTAGTGGCGATAGAAACTAGCGGGATTTGAAACTAGCGGCGTCAGAAGCTATAGCGTTAGATGGTAGTAACGTTAGAAGTTAGCTCCATTAGAAATTAGCTACATTAGAAGCTACAGCGTTAGATGGTAGTAACGTTAGACGCTAGCTCCATTAGAAACTAGCGGGATTTGAAACTAGCGGCGTCAGAAGCTACAGCTTTAGATGGTAGTAATGTTGGAAGCTAGCTCCATTAGAAGCTAGTGGCAATAGAAACTAGCGGGATTTGAAACTAGCAGCGTCAGAAGCTACAGCTTTAGATGGTAGTAATGTTGGAAGCTAGCTCCATTAGAAGCTAGTGGCAATAGAAACTAGCGGGATTTGAAACTAGCAGCGTCAGAAGCTACAGCGTTAGATGGTAGTAATGTTGGAAGCTAGCTCCATTAGAAGCTAGCGGGATTACAAACTAGCGGCGTCATGGCGAGCAGTGACTAGAAAAGTCAGTGAAGAAATTGTCTACTCTGGGAAATGATTGTGTTCAATCACTTGTATACGGTTATCAATCAAATTTTAAATCAAATCTTGACTGAATTTGAGATGTCAGAGATAAAATGTTGCAAGTTGATCAAACTAATGATTTATACCCTAGAAATTACCCACACGGCTGAGTTTGGATTGCAGATTATGCTCCAATTATTGTTTGGTTTCCAAACATTAAATATCTCTTCTAGAACCTTAAATGTAACAATCTAAATTAGAAGAGAAGCCCGAGTCACATGACAGGCGCTGATACAGCACAAAAATAACAATCAGATGTTTTCATCTCCTCGCTGCCACCTGAATCATGGTCAGGAGATTTAAATGAACATTTCAAGCATTCTAAGGTGAGATTGTACAAGCTGGAGTTGTAAAAACACCAACGTGGGCAGGTCACAAGTGGGTAACTCGCCCGTCCCCGATCCTGTTGCCATTAAACTAACCCTAACCTGTGTGAACTGGATCGTACCTTAGAGGTAACTTGTCCGAGGAGCATCTTAGCCACACTAAAAGTGTTTTCTTTGCATTTTGATGTGTTGATAATCTGGGTGCTCTAGCTACTTAGTGGAGTAATTGGATACTTCAGGCGGAATAACAAAAAGGATTACGTTTTGATCTAACAATTGTGGAAAGTTAATTTCTGTAAAACTAGTGACTATTTACAATCACACACCGCTAAACAAAAGTTGGATTTTCAGTCTTACGAGTTCAAATAAAGGTTTTTTTAAGCTTTGTTGATTCAGGCAAGACCTGACGTGAAAACTGGAGGCTCTCTGAATATTTGCGACAAAGCAGCTGACAGGTAGCTCCGCGTGGTTACGTATAAACGACCAAACAATCATTACATTTTACAATACATTCGAATTCAAACCCTGTCCTTCTAAACGGAGAAGAGGGAGAGATTAGAAAAAAGCGGTTTTCTCTGGTTCCCGGTCACTCTCCAACTCACCGATTCACTCAGCGGTGAACACGTCAACACGCGCGCTCACACCCACAACCTGGTTACGGTTCCTGATCAAATAGAAAATAAATAGCATCGTCGTTGGTTTTTCACAAAACGAGCAAGTTCGTACAAAAACCAAAAAAATAAACAACATAATTACAAATCAAAATCAGTTCTCATCGAATGAATTTACAAAGAAAGGTACCTTAAGACATTGTGAATATGAAGGACGAAACAGGAGTTGAACAGGAGCAGGTTTCCTGTTCAACTCCCCGAAAACACATCCTGAAAGAATGAAAATATTGCTAAAATAATGATTTCTGTTTCCCCGCGTCTCTTGATCCCATCACTCTATCGTCATGATCAGACAAGAATGAACAGGTTTGGTTGGTTCACAATGAAAAAGTTTTTATCTCCACGTTCACCATCTAGCAGCGTTGGGCTGGCCGAACTCACCGGCGAGGTCAGAACTGGGCTACAGGGTGTTTTTCTTTTAGTTTGGAACACTTGTGGTGTGATTCATTCATTCATCGGGGCGTTTCCCAGCCTGTGTATGCTTTTGTGGTTTCCATGGTTACCAGCCGGTTCACCAACAAACGCAGTGAAGAAGACATAAACCAGAGAACGGGCCCTGGAAGTTAAATCCAAAGCAAAACAAGTGTTGTGGTTGGTTCCTGTACACGTCTTAAGCCCCGCCCCTCCGACATCATACTTATTAGAAAACATAAATACACCTCAGATCCAGCTTTTCCCACACATCGACTCATCCCTACCCCTGTTACCCCTGCTAAAGGACTATTTGTTCTAATATGTTTGGCTATAATCGGGTGTTTGATAATGAACACCATCCCTGTGCAGGTGAGACGGGCGGACACGCCTGTAAACGGAAACCTTTTCAACAATGGAGTAAGATAGAGATGCCTGTTCCGTCTTTAAACCTTTCTATGATGCCAACTAGCAAATATATGGAGCCCACCAGGTGACAGGTGGAGAAATAAAACGGTGAAATTGCTCCCAAACCCTAACTCGTCCTTCTACATGCTACACCCCACCCCCAAGAACAAACCGGACTAATGACAAACCTCCAATAAATTAATCTGCAGGTTTAAAAGGTTTTGGTTCAAATTTGAAACGTTTCATCACTTCTTTTGGTGTCAAAACAAACATTACTACAGATTTAACAAACCACGGTTGCTACGACCGTCTCTTCATGCTGCCGTTTCCACCGATTCTGTCTTTCTCAGCTAATTCTTTTTCTTTCTTCCTTCTCATTTTGTTAATTTAAGATTTTCTTTTTACAATAACTTTTTAATCGTCTATTTATATCTTTAAATCATATTTTATATTTTATTCTTGTGAAGCGTCTCGTGAATTTTATCTTGAAAGGCATTATATTAAAGGGACTTTTCGGACTTTTGAATTTTTATGCTCGCGATTGCCCCCTCAGGCCAAAAGCGTAACGAGGCGCGCATGCTGTACGTGCACACTCCTTAACGAAAATAACAGCTGAGACAGTCCCGTGTGTGTGTGTGTGTGTGTGTGTGTGTGTGTGTGTGTGTGTGTGTGTGTGTGTGTGTGTGTGTGTGTGTGTGTGTGTGTGTGTGAGCGTGAACGCGCATGAAGCAGCCTGCTCGACCCGAGCAGCTCTCTTTTTCTGTGATTTTACAGAAAAACAGGCAATCACAGTAAAAATGCCAGGGCTCATGCTACAGGACCAGGGCATTGCAGGAGAATGTATGAAGAAGACATTTATTATTTCTATACATGTTTTGGCTGTCAAACTTCCATAATGCCCCTTTAAAAAAAGTTTCTTCTTTCCTCTTATTGATGAAATCTGTAACCCTTTTATTCGCCTCAGGTGTTGTGTTTACTTCCGTTTCCCTGTTTAGTTCCACCCCTACAGCAAATACTGTAGAGTCTGCTCCGTTTTCCGTTCTCCCCTGGCACTCAGTGGGCTCCGTACCAAACAAACATGGATTCCAAAGATCTGTCCAGTTTACTGACCTCCAACAGAAACTAGGGATGCACCGATACCGATACTGGTATTGGTATCGTTATCGGTACTGATACGATACCAATACCAGTATCGGTGTCGGTAAAAGTTAACCGATACCAGGAACCGATACCAATGCAGCTGCTTGAAAATGGCTTCACTGTAACTTGTCATTTCTGTTCACCTAATATTTTAGTTTTGTTATGATTTCCATTCATATATTTTACTTTTTATTTACCTCACAGTCTTTTCCTGTCGAAAGCAGAGAAGAAAATAAAATCTGTATTCAAATCATTGCATTTTTTTGTGTGGTAGAACTATCGGTATTGGTAATCGGTATCGGCGAATACTTAGATCCAAGTATCGGTATCGTATTGGTTTAGAAAAAAGTGGTATCGTTGTATCCCTAACAGAAACACGACGCTTCTTCATGTTCAATACTGAATGTAAACAAAATCAGAGGCTAAATGCAGAACCACACCACAGAAAAGAAAACCTTTCAAATTAAAAGAAACCCCGCTGCAGCCAGCTCTCTTGTCCCCTCTAGAAGGAGTGTTAAAGGGGATTCCTGCTGAATTTCAGCCCTCACAGTACAACCTCGTACCGAGAATGAGAATCTGGGTTCGGCCTCCCCCTTCATGGTTTCTGCTACACTAGTGTTTCTCCCATAATACACTACAGAAATATCCAGACATATGTATATATATAAAAACATCAGTAGTACTTAGAGTAGAGTAGTAGAGTAACAAGTAAGAAGAAGGAACATTATTGTACTTTATATCATCATCATCATCATCATCATCATCAGCCATAGTTTAAGGGACTTTAGGTCATCCTTTGGTGGAAACCAGCAGATTGGGAGAGGAGTTAGCGCCACAACCAGCTGTTTCGGTAAATGTGTGTGTGTGTGTGTGTGTGTGTGTGTGTGTGTGTGTGTGTGTGTGTGTGTGTGTTTAGAATCAGATGTGTCCAACCAGCATACACTCTCTGTAGCTCTGTCCTCTGATATTTACAGTTAAATACCTGCATGTACGTTGGTGGTTTTTGTGTCTGATAGCTCTGCGACTTTTGTGTGAAATTGCTTCGTTTGTTGGCTCGTGTTTTGTGCTACTCGCATGTGGAATAAGCATGTCAGACCAAAAAGGATGACCACGAGGTCACGGTATGCCTCTGTGGGTCTAACGTTGAGACGAGTCAGACGCGTTAAACCAAAAGAGACACTTCATCTGGTTTTCTCACAGCTGACTGAAACTACACCAGCTACTGATTTGAAGTTCTGGGCTGCAGTTTAATAAACCAGCTACTAAACAAAGTCTCCTAAGATCTGCAACATGATGTGTGCATGGCTAAAAGTGAACCAGTTTCACACAAAGCTGTCAGAGAGAAGGAACAGCCCTGCATCACAGAGATCACCACCTCCATGACACAAGATGGAAAAGAGCATTTTATACCTTCTTCTGTCTCCCAACACCATCAACCTCAAGTCCCCACCACCCTGTCCCCTGTGTTATCCTCTCTATGTGTTGGTGGGGGGATGGGCAGCACCTAGGTGGCGCTCTCCCCAGCTCCAGAGTTGGCCCCGCTGGGTTTGGGCTCGGGCTGGTCGGAGTGCGGAGACGAAGGGCTCAGGGGGTCGCCTCTCTCGCCCCTCTCCTGGAGGTTACGCTGGTTCCTGGCTGCCTCTGTCAGCATCTGCACCCGGCGCTCCTGGTATTCTTCCAGGCCTCGCCAGAGCTCGGCACGCTCCCTTTCCCGCTTCATCTCCCTGAAACAAAGAGGTGAAGCGGAATATTTCTGTGTTCACTGTAAAGAATGGCAGCGGCTTCAACCTGGAAGCTCAAAGTTGTTCTGGGAGTAAAGAGAACGACGATCAACAGAAAAGTTAAACCTGCTGCCAGTGGTTCATCAAGGTCACCAAGGTAACCCGTGTAAAAGCCAGGTGTAACTTGAACTATGAGCTACAGCGACCCTTGACATTTTAGTTTTTGAGCTTGGGTTCACTCTGTAGGGTATATGCAGGAATCTCAAAATGAAATGTAAGACTTTTTCAAGACTTTTTAAGACATTCTGAAATTAAATTAAGACTCAATTGCAACAAACTAATAAACTATAAAACATTCATATTTTGTTTGGTAGAAAGAAATCAGATTTTCAAACAAAACTTTAACCAAATGCAAAGTTTATTCAAATATGCCAAAGTAACAAAAATATTTTTTTTAAAGTTGATATTATGGCACTTTCATTGTTTTGAACAACTTGAGCTATGAATACTATTTTTGGCAGCTTTTTAATAATTTGGGGGCAAGAAAGGTTACTGAAGAAATTAAAAGTACAATGTTATTAACATAAAAAATAATAGAATGGAATAATCCTTGTTGAACCCCATTTTGCTTCCACCATCTTCTCCTTGAATTGGCGAGATACCTCACATCCACGGTGGCCAAAGTCACGTGGTACGAAAATGCACGAAATTGGCTGGCAGAGACCTAAAAATTGGTTTATTTTATGACCTTGTTGTGTTTCTTTTAAATATACAGACTTATTTTAAATACACATCAATACTCACCAAATTTAAGACTTCACTTAATGGATTTAAGACTTTTTAAGACATTCTGAAATTAAATTAAGACTATTGCAACGAACTAATAAACTATAAAACACTCATATTTTGTTTGGTAGAAAGAAATCAGATTTTCAAACAAAACTTTAACCAAATAAAGTTTATTCAAATATGCCAAAGTAACAAAAAGATTTTTTTAAAGTTGATATTATGGCACTTTCATTGTTTTGAGCAACTTGAGCTATTAATACTATTTTTGGCAGCTTTTTAATAATTTGGGGACAAGAAATGTTACTGAAAAAATTTAAAGTACAATGTTATTAACATAAAAATAATAGAATGGAATAATCCTTGTTTTTCCCCATTTTGCTTCCACCATCTTCTCCTTGAATTGGCGAGATACGTCACATCCACGGTGGCCAAAGTGACGTGGTACGAAAATGGCTGGCAGAGACCTAAAAATTGGTTTATTTTATGACCTTGTTGTGGTTCTTTTTAATATACAGACTTATTTTAAATACACATCAATACTCACCAAATTTAAGACTTCACTTAATGGGTTTAAGACTTTTTAAGGGTCTTAATTTGCCTAAATTAAATTCAAGACTTTTTAAGACTTTTCAAGAGCCGCATATACCATGCTCTGATTACTTTGTGATGTAACTCTGTGACCCTGAACCCACTGCGATGTCTTCCTGCTGCAAGAAGGGGTGGAGTTTCATTCATTTTGGTCATTTTTGGTGAATTCTGTTCAAGCCGCGTGACGTGCCAGTCCCAAACACGCTTCACTTGTGTTAATGTAGAGATGGGTGTGTTGTTCTGATTGTGACAGAATCGCACGTCTGTTGCACTAAAATCTATTTTCCCATGAGATGCCTCCAAGTTGGATGATTAACTTGAAGCCGTGCATGATGGACAGCTGACCTCAGCGACGCACGCCTCTGGGATGTGAAACACGACCTCAGCAGCCTGGTTTGTTGTCCCTGTCGTATCCAGCGAGACAACTGCTCAGTGGCAGTGAGTCATACTCACTTCTGTTTCTCCACTTTGTAGGAGGCAGTGAGGTCATCAAACAGTTTGCTGTTCATCTCCATGAAGGTCTTCAGCACGTTGTAGATCAGAGACACGATGGTCCTGGGGAACACAGTCAGACAGGACAGACATACGGTCCTGTTTAGTTCGGGTCTACTTTAGAGCCTCGCATTTCTCCGTCATTATAGGTGTTACATAATATAATTACTTACTTGTTTTATTTAATTAACTAACATTTAACTCATAGATGTGAATAACGACGAGCAAACGGAGAAGTAATTTTCATTTGTGTGCCACTAACTGGTTCCAGTGCTCCTTGGAGACTCTGTAGAGGGTAGCGAACACCAGCGGCAGGATGACTTGACAGTTCTCCTCTATTAGGCTGAGGATGTATTCGTTGTTCCAGAAGTACAGAGCTCGTTCTGCTACCTGAACACACACACACACACACACACACACACACACACACACACACACACACACACACACACACACACACACACACACACACACACACACACACACACACACAACTGAGTTTATTGTCCCAAACTGGTTCCCTTTAACTGTCTCTAATGCATCTGTAGGTAGGGATGGGTACCTTTGACATTTGAATCGATTCGGTACTAATTCCCGGTACCTAGGAATCGATACCGGTACTTAACGGTACCAGTTTTAGATACTTTTGAGTGTTTAGTATTTTAATTCTCTTTTATAATTAAATATATATTTTTCTCAGTATATAACCATATTTGGTAAATATCACGATAAATAACATACAACTGTTTGTATTTTAACATCGTCCTTGTAGTTTTATAAGCTGATAATTAAACTGAAGCAAACATCTTTACTGTGAACTAAATTTACTGTGCATCTTCATTCCTTTTGCCGTCCTTTTTCATTTGATTTTTTTCCTACTGAGAAGTTAGAATTTCTGAGGAGAAAGCGAACGCACCATTAGCTGATAACAATGGTGGCAATGGAAGCTAACATATCAAGCTAACGTTATCTTAAACAGTTTATTTAGCTGCTGGAGCAGATTAAAACGATGATGCCTCACACTTAGATCGTTGTCGCTGGTTTCATCTTCACCCAATCACCCGTCGCATTTAGTAAAGTGAAACCAAACTTTAGAGCGCGTTCATGTTCTTCCAGTCGGAAATTCGGAGTTCCGAGGAGAAAGCGAATGCACCATAAGCGGAACGGAAGCTAACATATCAAGCTAACGTTATCTTAAACATTTTATTTACCTACCGGAGCAGATTAAGATGAGGATGTCTCACTTAGATCGTTGTCGCTGGTTTCATCATCACCCAGTTACCCATCACATTTAGTGAAGTGGACCCAAGCTTTAGCGTGCGTTCTTTCTTCCATGCTGCTCTGTTTACAATGACGACATAACGCTCTTGCGCATGCGCAGCTGTCTTGGCAAGTTCTCGTTATGAAGGACAGGTACCAAAATGAGGCACCGTTTCAAATGACGTGAATCGGTGCTCAGTCGGTACTATGGAATTCGGTCGGTACCTTAAAAAGTACCGAATTCAGTACCCATCGCTATCTGTAGGTAATCATCTTATTTAATTTAACTTGATCCTTCCAAGTCAGTTTTATTTGTCCATCACCTGGAAGTGAGGGCTGGAGATGCAGGCTGCTATCTGTTTGAAGAGAGGCTCCTGAATCCGGATGAACTGTGATGGTTCTATCACGTCCAAAATCTCCTCAATCTCCCCCAGGAACATCACCTAAACACCCCCGAACACGCCTTAGTTTACAGAACACAAGAAGAATGTGTGTAAGGGAACAGAGATGGGTTACTTCACCTCTTTCTGGGTGCAGGTCTTCGGCCAGTACTTGAGCAGCCCTCTGATGATCTGCAGAGTACACACACGTTCACTCACCTTCACCGTCCGCTTCTCTGCTGCTGCACTTATTTTGTTGCTGAATAAAGAAGCAAGCTAAGTCTTACGTATTCAGTCACCGTAGCGTCTTTCTCCATAAACTGCACCACACAGTAGGCCAGCTGAAACCACAGAGAGAACTGCTGGTGAGTAACAGTTCATAGATAGTAGGTAACCAATAGAGGTGCTGAAAAAAATCGATTCAAGTCTGAATCGGTATTCTAGAGCCCTGCACTGAAGCCCTAGGCCTGCGGGTCGGCCGGGCTTCGGGCCAACGACTGTGTAATTACCTCGGACACGGGCCGGGCTGGGCGCCTTTATTTTTGATCAAATTCATTTAAAAAAACTGAAACACTTGAACACAGCAGCACCTGCCTGCTTCTCACGCACCAGCACCCGTTAGCTCAGTTAAGGTCTGTGTGGTTTATAAATGCGCCGATATAAACGAATTCTCAAACTGCTGATTGAAACATGTGCCCCTATTCTAACATGCCATTTTATGTCCACTTTGATACGTCAGAAACCATTTGTTTATTCTCGTGGAAATGGCAGCACTCTATTTTTCTGCGAATAAATTCGCTCTGCATTAAAAAAATACAGCATTCATTGCTAGCTGTTTTCTAACTGGAGAGCGCATTTTCAGAGCGGCAGATTAAATTTACAAATGCTATATTAATTGGGGCCGTTTATTTAATCTGCCGCTCTGAAAATGCGCTCTGCAGTTAGAAAATTAGAATGCTGCTTTTTTTTCTAATTGCACAAGAGCGCGTTTTCAGAGCAGATTAAATTTACAAACGCATCCAATTAATATAGCGTTCGTAAATTTCATCTGCCGCTCGAAAAATACGCTCTGTTAGAAAAAAAGCTGCAATGATGCTGTTTTTTTCTTTTCTTTCTTTCTTTTGTTTTTACTGCAGAACGTTTCTCACAGATAATTAGAATGCTGAGCATCCTATTACGCTAAAACATTATGAAAGGTTAAAAAAAAAGTTGGGCTCGGGCTCAGGTCGGGCCAGAGAAAAGAAAACTTTTTCGGGCAGGACACGGGCTCAGATTTTAGGCCCATGCAGGGCTCTACGGGATTCTTATTTATAAAGGTTCAGAATCGATTCACAAAGGTTCAGAATCGATTCTAAGAACTCAAATATTTGGCACGTTACAGGTTTGAGATGCACTTTTTTGATCTTTGTTAGGAGAGTCAGTACTCCGTTTACTTTTGTGGTCCCATGAATTGAGATGATTTATGTTTGAATCTGCTGATAAGAGGGCACTTGAATGTAATTTTTTCCATACTCAGAAATTTGGATATTCTCATTTATTTTCTAAGATGATACATGAGTACTCAGATTACTTGTGTAACTTGTTTCTACACATACTTGAAAAGTATTTGACCATATTACTTCCAAAGCTACTGTTAGGTAACAACAGATTTGTTATATTTTACAAGGTAAGCAAAAATAAATGTTGCCTTTTGGTCAAAAGATTGTTTCTGTTTAGCGTTTTAGAATCACTTTAGTTTACCTTGTAAATTTGCTTTTTTGGAGCATGATCAGTTTAAAGTCAAATAAAAATGTCCCAAAGCTTTAACTAACTTGTACAACAAAGTAGTTCATCCTGGAGCTGACACTCTTTGTTAATACAGATTGTGAATCGATTTAAATTGAGAATCGAGAATCGATTCTGAATCGAATCGGCACCCCGAGAATCGGAATCACATCAAATCGTGAGTTGCTCTAAGACTCACATCTCTAGTAACCAACATCATACATTAATAATTCCTCACGTGAGAAATGTGACAAGTTATGGTTTCAGATATTTGAATTAACTATAAATGATGAAAATTAACTTGAGGGGTCCCACAGGGTTCAGCACTGGGCCCACTGTTGTTTATGAACATAAATACTTAATGCATCACTTTGGTAAATGTTTCAACCGATGACTTAAGTCATTTATAGTAATTTTTTAATATGCTTTTGGATATTTAGCTTAATAATCCCTAGAAAAGGATTTTTTACACCAAAAATGTATTATTATTATTATTATTATTATTATTATTATTATTATTATTATTATTATTATTATTATTATTATTTAAAAGTATGTATATTTTTAGATATCTATAAAAGAATTGTAGGATTTTTATAGAAAATAAAATTACATTTTTATTTGTTTTCTGAACATAACATTTCAAAGATGAATTTGTTGTTTTCTAATACAATTTAAGTCACAATATCATCTTTTTAACTCATTTTAAATCTGGATTTAATTCTGATTATACACATTTACACACTGGACTGAACAGCAGCAGACAACAAGAATGAATGTAATAAATGAACCACACACACACACACACACATTCCATGAAGCTGTCAAAACGACAGGGGCTCAGCTCTTATCCCTCAGGATTAAACACGGCTAAGGATCGGAAATACCAGTTTTCCGATTCTGTCGTAGTGAGTTTTGCTACATCAGCTGCAGTCATCTCCTATTATTCGCAGAATGTGTGTGTGTGAGCATGAGTGTGTTTTGTGGTTGCCCCTTCCACCCAGACCGGTTGCCGTGGCGAGAGGGCGCCGTGGCGACGGAGACTGTGTGTGTGTTTGCCTCGGAAGGAGTGATGTCACACATATAAAGTCCCTTCAGGACAATGCAGGACAGAGTTTAGACCTGCTGTCTCCGTCTTTTTGTTTATTTGAAATCAGAAGTATCCACTTTTATTATAATTACACAGAATGTCTTTGTTTTGTTTTATGTTTTATGTGTAGATTTATTCTGTCAGGAGTTTGCTTCAGAAATCACATTTTTACATTTCTGTTTCTCCTTGGGTGGTATTTTTGATCATTGCAGCTCAGCAGGAGTAAAAGACAGGGAGAAATGTGCCTTTACACAGGTAGATTATTACTATGGTAGGATTGTGAGAGCTGGACGTTGTTTGCTTAAGGATTTTATGGTTTTTAGGGTGAGGGTTTGATTTATTCATCATGATAAAGAGTCGCATTATGGGATGAAACGCCTCAACAAGGCTCCCGTGTTAGGCTCTGGAAAAACAAAGCTAACAACTATTAAGTTTCTTCTAATCCCTTTGGCAGACAGCAGTCAGTGTGCTGAAACTTTATTATCCAGCACAGAAGCCAAGTGCCATAAAATCTGATCTTAAATTAGATAAAATAAGAAGAAATGTCATAAAACAGAAGTAAAAACAACCTTGAGATAAAAGGATGACAAGAGGTCTGTCTGATGCTACAGCTAACACCTTCTCGTCTCAGCTAACTCAGAGTCCCTCGTGATCAGCTTACCTGAGACTATTCCATCTGTGCTTAGAAGTAATATAACCGTAGCACACTAACTAAAGAAAGCAAGCACTACATATCCCAGAATGCACCAGAAGATAACAGATGAAGCCGAGTTTCTCACTTTGCATCTTGTTTCAAATTCCTCAGAGACGAGTTCTCACTGTAGGTTGTCCCACAAGAAGCTACGGAAATTATGTTTAAACGCAGATGACCTCAGTGCTCAGCAGGACATCACACACACACACACACACACACACACACACACACACACACACACGATTCTCATGTTGCAACAATGCATGCACACTAAACTCTTGCAAAGTGCCACAATGTCTGCAGAAAACAACCATAAAACCCAATGTACATAATTCTGTGTTGTTAAATTAATGGTGGTGTGAATGCTTTACAAAATAGCATTTGCATGAAAGACTGAAATTTGTGACATAAAGGTGTTTCGAAGCAACACTGAAGAGTTTCTGGGACTTAAAGCTATTGCTTTCAAACTGGTTTCAGTGATTCTTGGGGTTGAAACTTGAACAACCTAACACGGGACAGCCCTCTGCAGACCCCTGCTGAACAGAGACTGGACTTAGTTAGTGGTTTGGGTACACTGATGGAAGGTCTCTACCTGCTTAAGCACAATGGCGGTTTACTGTGCCAGTATCTAATGCAGAGGCTAACACTTAGCTTTTTCTTTTTGCCGACTGCAGAAAAAAGAACAAGAAGGAAAATAAATGTAGTCAGATGAATTTGTTGGCATCATGGTGAAGCCAGAATCAAACGTAAAAGACCAAAGTAGGAGGCGGCAAATCAAGGAGCTAAAACCAGAGTGAACATCGGCACGGCTCATATTCATTTGAGGGAGGCTACAAATCCATGGACTGATGGTGGCCTGGCTTTGTTGTTTCTGGACTTGTAAGTAATAATATTTTTTTTCCAACAGTGTGGACTATTTTACTTTGTGGCTTATTTATTATCAGTTGGCTTGTGTTAACTCATTCACTGCCAATGACGACTAAAGTCATCATTTTAAATCCAACCGTTCACTGCCAATGACAATTAAAGTCGTCATTTGCATTTTTTTACTGTGTGGGCGTCGGAATGAGCCCCCGACACCGTGGGAACAAACATCCCAGCTCTGAAGCCGATCGGCATCCGCGTACGTCACACGTCACGTGATCAGGAAGCAGAAAATCCATGTGTTAGGAGATCGTTTTGGGCCGCTGCTGTAAAAAAAAAGTGAGGCGCGAACCGGAAAAGCTTCTGCCGATCAAAATTCAACAACGGATTATGAATGAACGGATAATGCTCGAAACGTGCGGATTCTTCCTGATGTAAGAGGTGAGTCTCTGCTTTGTTTTGGTTGTTTTGGTTGTTTTAGCGTCGACATCATCCTAGCGCGCAACGTTCTGTGGCTCTTAAAAAACGGTGAGAAACGCTGGCAGCGAATGAGTTAGTGTTAGCTCATTGTTAGAGCTAGCTTCAGACAGCAGTAGCGTGTTGTTTATGATAGCTGTAATTCCGTTTTCAACCAGTAGGAGGGAGAACTGGTGAAACTTATTAAGTGTTGCTTTAAGAAAATAGTAAATTGTTAAAGGTGCAATATGTAAGAATATTCTTGGAATCTTACAGTGAGAATATCCCAAAAGACTAATGTTTCAGTCATTTTGGAAGGAAGGTTACACTGAAAGATGTTTCATATCCTGCTAGCAGCTGGATTGTCAGTTTTTCTCCTTTCAAAACAGGAAGGAGGGACGTAACTACGGGTTACCATCAGAGTGTGGGGTTGCCGTGTCTCCTGCGAGCTAATGCTGCAGCGCCGACAATTGTAATTTGACGACAGCTGGCAAAATAACTCCAGAATTGTTTAAAGTGGTTGCAGTAACCACATTTTACCACAGGATGTCATTTCTACATAATGCACCTTTAAGAACATGGAACCACTGAAACTAGCCATTAGCTTATCAATCAAGTTAGAGCGATTGTTTCTCTGAACTGAAGCTGGAAACACCAACAGATAAGATGTCCACAGAAGCTGCCATTTTAAACTTTGTGCATTTATGGCTCTAAACGTAGCTTCTGTTAGCTTCAAACTCTTACCACAGTCCAGCGGCAACAGCAAACATTTTCTCAGACAGCAGCAAAGCTGGTATAAGCGATGAAAATGGTGTTAATGAATCTTTAAGCTGACTTATTATCACATTTTGATATTTATACCCAGAAGTGGGTCACTCTGCGCTCCCGTCTCCCCCTTGACCCTGACCAACCGAGATGTGTGTTTGAGTGTGTGAATAATAAATGTGTGAGCCACGGGGAGCGGGATGGAGAGAGATGGGGAGAAATGTAGGACACGGTGGTGCTGAGATCCAGAATACACAAACCGCAGAACAAACTGTACCCTCCGCATTAGCAAATAACGTGTGACTCAAACACCACACACACACACACAAGAGACAACCAGCCATCTGTGTCATCAAATATCATGACCACACACACACACACAAACTCAGAGGTGTAAATCTATGGCTCAATCCTGCCTCCTGGTGGTACACCAAGCACACTGCAGAAACCCTGCTCCATTAATGCTACGTCTATCCATCTGGATACCAGATTAACGTTAGATGGTTGCAGATGCTAAGACTGCTGCATCACAGCTGGTGGTGACCAGAAACGTTCGGTTGGACTTCTGCAGGAAGAAACTGCAGATGAACTCCAGCTGTCCTCATCTGAAGTGACTGAGGTTTCCACTCACCTGTGCATGGAAGATGGAGAGGGACTTTGCTGTGTGTAGAGGGATGAGGACTCGGACCAGGAACTGCTTGTGTTCGGCTTTCAGCGGCAGCGCGAAGCCATTTATGATGCTAAAACCAAAGAGAAGAAGAACCGTTACCTCTCTGTGGTGTGTTCACTTCATTAACAGAAGGGCTAACGAGTAGAAACGTGTCGGTTTAGACCAGGGGTCGGCAACCTGTTCCCATCAAAGAGCCATTATTACCCGTTTCCCACAGTAAAGAAAACACTGGGAGCCACAGCAGCTGCGGCGTTGTGGGCGGGGCCTACCCTCAGACAGCAGAGAGCTGCTTTAACCAATCACAACAGGTGATAGCAGCCAGTACCGGTCGCTCGTGTACGTCAAAGTTATCTTTCATAAGACGATAATCAATAAAACGATTTATATAAAGTGGATCCAGAAGTTGTAGCCCGTCTCTGCCTACAATATTTAGATATTTTTCACCCTGTTGGTGGTTTTACTGAGCAGGTGCCACTTTTGTCATACGTTTCTTTTTAAAACATGTTTAGACTGTTCAGAATACAAATCCAGGCTCTGTCACGTTTGACTGTTGTAATTAAACTTTGTAGGTGGGGAAGGTCAGAAAAGGATCCGATCATTTTGTTTTTCCCTCATTTACAGTGACGGAGACAACGGCGCAGTGCGCCTGGCTCTGGTGTTAATCAAGTAAAATTATATCTCTTTGCAACAATTTTCACAAGAAAACAGAACAGTTAAAATCAGGGCTTGTGTTGACCGGACAGTTCCCGTATTTGACGGTTTATTTTGACGGAGAAAGAATAGAAAGAATTACCCCGACGCAAGCAGACGAGCTGACATTTTATTCGACTTAAATCGCAGATGTAGCTAAATCACTCAAGAAAAGATTCCCATCTGAACATCTGAGCTGGACACTGCTCAGCGCAGCTCACTGTCAGCTTGTACATAAGGTCCACAGCGAGCTGAAGATGTGGAGAGGGGCTTGGAGCGTGTCGCAGAACCAGAGCGCACGCAGGAAGATTCCTCCGTCTGATGCGAGACTTGTCACTTAGAAAATGTTCCCTGATTATGACACTTTGGCTGAATAGCGCTTGTTCCTGTCTCCAATGTGGCGACGCATCCAGGAGCCGTCTGAGGAGAATCCCAGAATCTCACATCCTCTTCAGCTCAGAAAGCGCCTATGACTACACACAAGAGTGACGCGTCAACCTGGTCTCACAGTAAGACCGGGTTGGACCTGTTCAGGTTTACGCAGACAATCTTTACATTTAGAATTAGCTTACAGATGTAAAATTAATGCAGTAAAATATAAAGCATTTTATTTAAATATCCAGTCATTATTTTACAAGCACAGAGAGCCGCATCAGATGGGTGGAAGAGCCGCGGTTTGCCGACCCCCGGTTTAGACAAACTTTCATCCAGGTCCCCAGATTCCAGAGAAACCACTGAAACGCTTTTGATTCAGCCCAAATGGCACGAACACCTCCTCTTACATGATTGTGTGTGTGTGTACGTGCGTGCGTGCGTGCGTGCGTGCGTGCGTGCGTGCGTGTGTGTGTGTGTGTGTGTGTGTGTGTGTGTGTGGCTGGAGAAGAGGAGTGTGTGACCGTCTCTGACTGACAGCCTCCCAGCAGACAGGGGGAGGAGCCTGTGTGTTTGTAAAGATGATTTATGTGTTTGTCTCCGGTCTACCTGTCTGTCCGCCTTCACTCCAATAACATTTCCCTCCTGCTGCTCCTTTAATCTGTCCCTGTCTCCTCTTTCTTCTGTCCCCGTTCTGCATCCCCTCCTCTTCACGTGTGGGAGGAGCTATAAATACCTCTGTTACCAACAACATGAATACAAACCTCTCTCTCCTCTCCTGTTCTCCTTCCTCCACCTCTGACTCACTCCTCGCTCATCCTCCTCTTCACATACCCCTCCATGTCTCCCTCTCCTCTCACCCTGAACTCGTCCTCTTCTTCTCCCCAGAAACCCCTTCAAGCCTCTAAAGTCGCGTTTACCTCATCATTTTGCTTATCAACAAGCAGAACAGGCTGATGTGAGTTTATAAAAAAAACTGCATTCATAAAAAATGGGTAATAATAAAAAAAATGGTAATTTTTGGTTTAATTGTGAATTTTTATTATTATTTCTTGTCTAAGAACAAAGCTATCCAAACATTTGGCACTGGTGTTGTTTATGATCCAGTTAAGAACCACTTCTGCAGAAAAATCTGAAAGTCGCTCTATTGCTGTTGATTTCAAAGGCCCAGGTCATTGTTTACTTGTTATTTTTCAAACACAATCATCACTCTGAGTTTAGCATGCAGACTGAATGTGAAAATAGTCTTTTACTCCTATTTCCTGCATTAGCCACCAGAACAAAAACGAGAAAATACTCAGTATTCAGTTACACGTCAACAGGGAGGTCTGTTGTTGATTTTGGGAGAGAGCAGAGCACATCTCGGCTAGTAGAAGCTAACCGTTAGCATTAGCAACTCCACCACACAGCAAAACTCCTCCAGAATTGTGTTATTTGTAGAGATAAAACATCAACGCTGCAGAGCAAACAAAGTCAGTGGTATAGTTATGTTGCTGTTAGCCAATCAGAGACAAGATGTCAGAATATCAGGAAACAAAACTCTAAATCCGGCCATGTTCTGCTCGCCACTCCTCCGGCTAACTTCCACCTCCTGAAAGAGGAGCGCCAGAGCTTTTTTCCCCACAGAGATGGACTCGCAAGGCATTCATTTATGCCAAAGACCACTACGAATGTGTTGAAAAAAACAAGTGAACTTGGTCTTTAAGGTTTAGACAGCACTGGGCATGCACAAAGTTACCTATGCATGAAGGGGTCGACGTTCTTGGATTTTATTTTGAAAAATCTCTGTTTTTCCCCAACATTAGCCCTATGTGTGTGTGTGTGTGTGTGCGTGCGCGTGCGTGCGTGCGTGCGTGCGTGCGTGTGTGTGTGTGTGTGTGTGTGTGTGTGTGTGTGTGTGTGTGTGTGTGTGTGTGTGTGTGTGTGTGTGTGTGTGTGTGTGTGTGTGCGTGCGTGCGTGCGTGCGTGCGTGCGTGTGTGCGTGTGTGTGTGTGTGTGTGTGTGTGTGTGTGTGTGTGTGTGTGTGTGTGTGTGTGTGTGTGTGCGTGTGGAAAAACAACAAGACATGGCTCCTCTCCATGCTCTCGCCTCATCTCATGTTTTCCTCAGAGACAAACTCAAGAGAAACAGACTCATGACTCGTGTTCCATCGTGTCGGCCTCCTCGTCGTCTGTGTTATCTCACTTCCCAGACGTTATTCTAGATGAATCTATCAAACCAATCATGTGAATTGATCGAGATAATACATCTGATTGTTCCTGTCTGACAGTGCGATTCCTGCTGTTGACTAATTGCGTGTCTGTGTTCATCTAAATCCTTTAAAGACCAAGTTCACTCATTTTTTCAACACATCTGCAGTGGTCTCTAGTATAAATGAATGCCTTGTGAGTCTATCTCTGTGCTGCTGTCTAAGACGCTAAGAGAGAGCCAGAGCAGAGGGGAGCAGAAGACGGCATGTTTTGGAGCCTTATTTCCTGGTATTCTGACATCTCTCTTCTGATTGGCTAACAGCAACGTGACTCTACCAGGGACTGTTTGCTTTGCAACGTTGATGTTTTATCTCCACAAATAACGCAAGCCCGAGGGAGTTCAAATTCCATCTTTCAGCTCTTTAAAACACAGAAAAGGTTTATTTACCAGCAACATTTCGTTTGCGGCTGCAAACATCATCAGGCTGATCAGGGCGTCAGCCTGATGATGTTTGCAGCCGCAAACGAAACGTTGCAGGTAAATAAACCTTTTCTGTGTTTTAAAGAGCTGAAAGATGGAATTTGAAACTCAACACAGCAAGAACACACCAAAGATGTCCGAAGGAGTTCTGTCGTGCTGTGGCCTTGCTAATGCTAATGGCTAGCTTCTACTAGCCATGACATGCTATGCTCTCTTCTGGTTGTTAAACCAACAACTTCCTTCCCTGTCTCGAGTCAAGATGTGTAAATGTCACTGGCTTTTCTAATCCAAGCGTTCTCCCGTCTGTCTTCTATCAGGAGCTCATGGAGGTAATAGTGGTAGAAGACCACTGTCCCACTTAGTCTGCATGTTAAAGGGACTGAAAGGAAGTTTGAAGCTTTTTTGCTCGCTATCGCCACTCAGGCCTAACGCGTAACTGCAGGTTCAAAAGTAAGCTCGTGCACGAGGTGGGCACGCTGTACGTGCACACTCCTTAACGAAGATAACAGCTGAGACAGTCCTGTGTGTGTGTGTGTGTGTGTGTGTGTGTGTGTGTGTGTGTGTGTGTGTGTGTGTGTGTGTGTGTGTGTGTGTGTGTGTGTGTGTGTGTGTGTGTGCGTGTGCGTGTGCGTGCGTGTGTGTGTGTGTGTGAGGACAGGAGAACATGCAGCTAATTAATTAAATAATGTGGTTCTGTAGCTTTCTCTTCAGCACAGCCGACAAAGGTTTATGATGGGTCAGTCCTCCTGCATGCTCAGATCATTCCCTTCCCTTGCTTGAAAAATTGTTCCAAAATGAAAGTTGAACCCACATCTTTTTTATCTGTGAATTCAATGCCGTTCGGCGAGTCTCAAATAAAAATTTGGGCATCTTACTGTAAAAAAATATACCATTAATGTAAAAAAGAAACTCTAAATAAACTATATTCACAACCAGAATCAAACCCAGGTCTTCTGCACGAGAGTCCGATGTTTTACTAAGTGAGCTACATACCAGTATCATTTGATGTATCTGTAACATTTATATCCTTGATGACAGCTGAAACAACATCAAACCAAAGAACGGTTCGGAGTGAAAATGGCTATTTTGTTGCTAATTTGCAGGAAATATCTAGAAGAAAGTTCTACAGAAAGTAGCTAAGGTCCTCAGAAATGTAGCTAGCTTTGTCACTAGGCGTTAGGAACAGCGACAAAGTGGCACTGCCTCTCTCTCTGCTGCTAAAGCTACGGATAGCAAATGCTACGGGCGATGCCTGAGCGTGAACGCGCATGAAGCAGCCTGCTCGACCCGAGCATCTCTCTTTTTCTGTGATTTTACAGAAAAACAGGCAATCCCAGTAAAAATGCCAGGGCTCATTCTACAGGACCAGGGCATTGCAGGAGAATGTATGAAGAAGACATTTATTATTTCTATACATGTTTTGGCCGTCAAACTTCCTTATAGTCCCTTTAAACTCAGAGTGACCGATCATGTTTAAAAAATAACAAGTAAAAAATTGTCTCTCGGTGAATGTGGTCGTTAATCTAAAGTGACAATATTATTTGAGAGGACACAAACCTGCCAAGGATTTCCAGAAGCTCTGCCACGCCATTGAAGTGCTCAGTTTCATAAATGAACCTAGAATCAAAAAGAGAAGACACTTTAAATCATGTATTAGCTACCACGGCACCCTGCTGGCATCAGGGTATCTGCAGGATTAAGGGAGCCAAATTTAAGACTTTTTAAGACCTTTTTTGAGGCCGCTTTGACCAAATTTAAGCTATGATTTCCAGCTATTGCCTGGAACCGGTGCTAACCACGTCGCAAATGTGGGATTAGCCATCCAGTTACCATTAAACTTGCCTTCCCCATGGTACAAGCTCCCACTAGCTTAACCAGCTAATGTGCTCCTCTTAAAATAGCCCCCTTTCACAACCAACTGAACGTGTACGGTTCTGCTTACGCCAACATCGTACACAAAAAATGCTGAACACTAACTAGAAATTCACAAAATTTTTATAGAAATAAAAGAATCTTGTTTATTGGGTCTTTGGTCATTTAAGACATCTGGAAACTGTATTTAAGGATTATTTGTCATTTTTAAGGATTTTCAAGGCCTTAAATTTGGAAAAGCTAATTTAAGACTTTTTAAGGACCCGCAGATACCCTGCTGGCATAGATCTAACCATCTTCATGCCTTTCACACATGACTGAGTGCTATCGGTCTCTTAGGATGAATTAGGACCTGGCTAGTCTTTCTGCAAACTTAAAAGCTACCATAGAAAATTTGGAAAACAAATTAGTTTAAAGCTTTTTTGCCTCTTAACAACATATTATAACGCTGTATTGCTGCAAGTTTATTGTGCAGAAGGAGAAACAGCCGGCTGCTACCACTTTAACTTTACGACAAACTAACAGTGTCCCAAAAGTAAAACACCTTTTGAAGTCGCAGACAACAAAAGGTGTTTGGGCGTCTAGTGTTGATATGACATTCGCGATCAAATCAAGTCTTTTGAACGGCTTTTCATCTCGTCTTCCGGTAAACTAGAGCACCACCACGATGTTTGCCCTCCACCTGACCGTTTATCGGTTAATGTTGGATCGAGTGGCGTTCAGACGCTACAAACCGTAGCTCGGTGGTACCTGAGGAAGATGTTGTTGATCTGTTTGCGGATGTAGGCTCGGAGACCCAGTAACTTTCCATAAACACGGTGCAGGATGGTCTTCAGGTACTCCCTCTCCCTTGGGTCCTCGCTGTCAAACAGCTCCAGGAGCTAAGAACACACACATAACATCATAACAGCGACAAAAATGTGCACCTCTGCAGCTGCAAGGCCTGATTTAACTCGGTAGGACTTTCTTTTTGTCTAAACTAATCTGAACTCTTCAGTGGGTCGGCTTTAGGAACATAAAAACAGTCATCTCTGCTTTGGGTTTATGGTCTGATTTCAACTGTTTTCTTTCTCAAGAGGAATTAACGACCCGACATACTTACCGAGACTTAAACAAGTGGTGATAAAGGCCTAACAATCTGTTTAAACTTGACAAAACCAATTATTATTATTATTACCTCCTGATTGTTGGTTATCAATAATACTTAAATTGATCATAACTCAGATTTTCTGTTATTTCAAGGAACTTAACAATGAATTTTACTGGTTTAGACTTAATGACCGGAAAAGGGTGGCTTGCCAACTCCGGTTCGGGAGAGAGGTCCTACCTCAAGTGGAGGAGTTTAAGTATCTCGGGGTCTTGTTCACGAGTGAGGGTAGGAGGGATCGGGAGATCGACAGGTGGATTGGGTCGGCGTCTGCAGCGATGCGGACGCTGAGCCGATCTGTCGTGGTGAAGAGGGAGCTGAGCCAGAAAGCCAGGCTCTCGATTTACCGGTCGATCTACGTCCCAATCCTCACCTATGGTCATGAGCTTTGGGTAATGACCGAAAGAACGAGATCGCGGATACAAGCGGCCGAAATGAGTTTCCTCCGTAGGGTGGCCGGGCTCAGCCTTAGAGATAGGGTGAGGAGCTCGGACATTCGGGAGGGACTCGGAGTAGAACCGCTGCTCCTCCGGATCGAAAGGAGTCGGTTGAGGTGGTTTGGGCATCTGGGCAGGAGGCCCCCCGGGTCGACCCAGGACACGTTGGAGAGGTTACATCTCCAATCTGGTCCGGGAACGCCTTGGGGTCCTGCCGGAGGAGCTGGTGGAGGTGGCCGGGGAGAGGACGGTCTGGAGCTCCCTAGTTGGGATGCTGCCCCCGCGACCCGGACCCGGATAAGCGGAGGAAGACGACGACTTAATGATTTGTTTTTATGGTGCTTTATAAATAAATTGACAGTGACCTTACTCAGAGGAGGTCCTCCTTATTTACTTTAAGAGTAAATAAGTTTATTTGATATCACGTCTTCACCTAGACCTGGAAAAAGAGCCAAATGGTGACCCTCATAGGAAAAGGATACTGGTTGAGATGTTCTGGAACAACCCAGGAAGCACCAAGACCTGAGTCTACTGTGAGCTGAAACCTGATCTAACACCAGTGTCCACAGAGAAGCCTGTTTACAACACCATCAGGAGCTCCTGCTCCAGAATAAACGTCCACCCAAACTATGTAGGGGACCGTGGAGATAAGACAAGATCTTCAGGAGAAAGGTTTAATTGGCGCACAAGAAAAAGAAACAAGTTATTTGGTTACAATAACAAAAAGTCTTGATCAAATTGAGCCTTTCAAACTTTGTATATTTGGACCAATGTTCAAGCATGGTGGAGGTAGGGTCATGCTGTGGTCCAGGTGGATGGAATAACAGAGGAGGGCCACCTCCAAATCATTTAACTTCATCTGAAACCATCAGCCAGATGGTGGAAACCTGGATCTACCCAGATGTTCTACCAGGACAACGACACATCAGAACTGGTTTCTGATAGGATCGTAGTTGGAAGCCCCATGAATGATATTCACGCCAATAATGACTGACCACCGAAAGATGTTTCCACACGGACCGTTTTAGATGTAACACACCCTGAGCATGATCAGAGTGTGACGTGTTTACTTGGTGAGGATTTTTAGTCTGCTAACGTGGTTAATGAAGAGTCAGCGAGTTACACAGCAAACTAGGAGCTAGCTGTAGCAGTATGTTAGCATTACTGTTAGCATCAAGCAGCTAATTACTAGTTAAAGCTATTTTTGCTTTCAGAGTTTTTTAACATAGAGAAGTAGTGTGGTTGTATTGGTCAGTAGCCAATGTGTTAAATATTAACAAAGAATCCTACATTTTTATTATTTCAGAGTAAATAGTAAACATGGTACTTTGGCCACCTCTGAATGAATCTGAAAAAACAAATAATTTATGGGATGACTGAAATGTTCATTTATTAGGATTTATCAGTAAGATCGTTAGAGGAAGCCACCTGCAGGACAAACTTCTGGTCGATGTAGCGTTTGGCCATGGACGGCTGGAAGTCCGGACTCTCCAGGAACCGCAGAAAGAACTCGTACACCAACTGAAGGAGGCAAAAGCAGCACGTGATTCATGTGTTTGTGTCGTCTAGGAGGAATTACTCATGCAAACAGTCTGTGTGCTTCAGCTGCGTGCTAGAACTCAAGACAGTAAAACTTTATGGTGAGATAAAAACTGGACGTAAAAGACAGGAAATGATCCGAGGCATGAGGACGCGTCACGTCACTCTGGCCACATCAGTGATGATGATGATGGGTGGTGCCGATGGGAGACGCAGGGCTTTGGGTTAATAAGTATATATTTTACTGTTTATTCTTTATAGTAAAATTATATATCTGTAAAACAACAGTGTGTGTGTGTGTGTGTGTGTGTGTGTGTGTGTGCGTGTGTGTGTGTGTGTGTGTGTGTGTGTGTGTGCGTGTGTGTGTGTGTGTGTGTGTGTGTGTGTGTGCGTGTGTGTGTGTGTGTGTGTACCTGCAGATGAGGCCACGAAGCTTCCAGCGTCGGCTCATCTTCCTCTGGATCAAACTCTGGGTTTTCACTGGGAGGAAGTGTGCGGAAGATATTTACCGAGATCTGGGAATTGTGAATGTGGAAGAGTGAGGAAAAGAGAAGAGGGAGAGAAGGGAGAGTAGGGATGGAGATGGGAGGAGGGAGGGTGGAGAAGAAGGTAGAAAGAAAAGGAAATTAGAGGTAAAAAAAATATTTTTATCAGAGAAACCAGAAATTCGAGTTTTAATGAAAAATATTTTACTAACAACATTTCTAACAACTAAATATTCCAATAATAGACTTTATATTTTAACAGACGCTCTTCTGTTGCTGTACTTGTGTTAATGCTGCTCTGTTCTAGTCTCCATATTGAAACTTTCACAGTTTTTAACTAGACAACAAAAAGTAAAATTACTCTAGAAAATATTTCAGATTTTTGAATAAAACTTTAAACATAGGTATTAATATTTGCCTCAGAATGATGATATATATAAAGTAAAATTACTGCAGCGGTCTGCGCCGCCCTCTAGCGGGGTGTGTGCGAAGCAGCAAAGAAGAGTCAACAGGTGGCAGACATAGAACACTTTTAATAGCCGGTGTTGGTACAGGATCGGCTCGGGGTCCTTCGACTGCCGACGACGTCAAAGTAGTTGATTGGCTGAACATGAAGCTTGCAGAAGTTACGTAATCACGTTACGTTGGTCCAGGCAAATCTTTCTGTTGGAAAGATGGACAACTTTTACAAAGAAATCCATCATTACTAGCCTAGTGAACTAGACCAAATTCTTGCTTTGCAAAGTTTGGTCTAGGAACGCTCCACTGGAACCTCTGCAGCCCCAACAGCATTCTGGCTGGCCAATCAAAGCTCTCTAGAGGGGTTTCAAACACATACAGAGCTGTGATTGGTCCATAATGGTGGGCCAATCATAGTGCTCTATCTGCTTAGTGAACAAACCGCAGAGCTTTATCCGCTTTGTGGGCCAATCAGGGCACTCTATATGCCTGGTGGGTGGGATGATGCAACAGAGTGAAACAAGAGTATGTCACATTCATTGTCCAGTGAAATGCGGAGATCATTTGAAAGACAACGGTAGAACCCGCCCCACAACCGAGAGCCGTCAATGGAGCGTTGCCAGACTAAAAATTACATTTATTTAGTTTGGCTTGCCAGGCTACATCATTACCTCTTTGAAAATACACGTTTAGCATAGAGCTGCATGTATATTAGGGCTGAACGATTAACTGCATGTGCAATTAAATTGCGATGTGACAAAAGGAGATTTTCTAATCGCAAAGGCTGCAGTTTGGCAGTGAGTGGTTAGCGCAATGCTAATATTCGTGGAAAAACCCATAGGAATGCTAATGCTAATATCACAGATTACATTATTACAAATTATGAATTAGAAACGTGCCAAATGATTACATTTGGACTCTAATAGAAAGTAAAACTACCATCAATCAAATAAGTACAGACAGGTATTTTAGTAAAGCCAGAAAACTTTTAACTCCAGAGTTTTGGCTAGCAGCTATGAGCGTACCTGAACTACGCATGGACAAGACGTCAAAAACTCTAAACACAAAATACTTCAATAAATGGGACACACTTCTTTCCTGCAAATACAATTTCACAGGTGTTGCTAATACCTATGATCCTTCAAGGGATGTGCTCAAAGGCAAGTTCAACATTATGAATACAATATAGTGTTTTATTTTACAAATACCATTATAAACACAAACTTACGTCTTAAGAAACATTATTTTAATAACAAAACTGCTAAATTCTTTCCAACAGTATAGATGTGTAGTGTATTTTGTCCAAGTGGGTTTGCCGTACTTTGACGTCATCGGCAGTCGAAGGACCCCGAGCCGCCCATGCACCAGAGCAGATCCTGCACCGACAGCGGATGGCTCCCCTTTTCATCCCCCCACACATACATTTAACTCACGGTGCCAACAGGCACCGGATAAGAACAACGCAGCGTGAACTCCAAACTGAAACAAACAACACTAACATAACCCCGAACAAAATAACCCTCAGAACACCACAAACTGAGTAAACAACCCCAATTTACCGTCCCCCCAGAGTGCAATGCGGCCTTGCCGGCCTGTAGCTGCCGTCAAAGGCAACTCTCGCATTTAAGTTCATTTTATTGGATTTAATGTTGAAACAATTAGTAGTTGAAAGATTGAGAAATAATATTTAAATAGTAATTCATATTCTGTTCATTAGATTTAAATGTTTAAATGTGTATTTGTGTTAACTGTGCAATTAGATGGGAACCTTTTCTATAGTTCCATCCGTTGTTGCTAAGGGGGCATTTTTCTTGGCACACTCGGCAAGCAATTAAGAGACGAGCCACGAGGTTGCACGTCTACAGTAAGTTAAATAAAAGAGTGCCTTTTTTGGACTACCTCACGGCGTAAGGATTAAAGTTTATTCCCTTTGAGTGAGGCCAAGGAGGTAAATGTTTTCTTTTGTTTATTATCATTGTATATGTAAATTATGTAAATTTGCGTGATATTCTAGTGCAATTACCGCAGTGTGAAGTGTAACGTGTATTTTATTGATCGATTTGTTGACATGTTCATCATATAATGCTTAAGGACTTTATTAAGAATATTCATTTAAGTTTGTATTTCTTTTTAGTTCTGACGGCATTGTATCGGCTGTGGTTGGACATCATTACATGTTAAGACATGTCGAAGAATCCTCCTGTCCGAAATAAATGTCAGTAAACCAAAGAACAAGTTGAGCTTTATTAAGACTCGAGGGGAGTAACACGGCCTATCAGTGGCAGGGCCGCCACAATACTTTACATTAAAATAATAACCTGTCACTTTGTTCTCGGTTTGGCGGTTAAAGGGTTAAATGTGGATCTCTAACATGTTTAAAAAGAAAGCTCAGATTTTTGACTTAGACAAGAGTCTGATCAACATAAATCTAGACATATAAAGTATGTAAATAAAACGTTTTAGAGATTAAATGTTTGTATTGTGGTTTGCAGACTCAGGCTCTTGTTTTTTTCTCTTTAGGGTTTGAAGCTCATTTGAGCTGAAGAATGGCCCGAATGCAATAAAAATGTGATCATTAAAGTAGAAGAATGTAGCTAATTGTGCAGCAGCGGTGCAAACATGCTCTGCTGCTGCACTGCTGTAGGGAAAATCTAACTCCTAGTTTCTAAGCAACTCCAGCTGGCCCTGAGCGTCCCTGATGCTGTTAGCAGTCTGATAAGTCATGCAAGGAGCGTTGACTAAGTCATCATTTATTCAGCAAGCACGTCTCCACTGGCCGCTTTAATTGCTCATTTTAGGACACGGCATAAATCTCAATTAGATTTTTAAAAAAGAGCCCAAATCCACCGGATTTCTTCTTCCTGTGCTTCTTTGAATTCTCTGGACAATCGGACCTTTTCTAGTTAAAACGTTTCATGAGCATGCGTCTCAGACCCGTTTGTTGTCCGGCTGCTTATCTGAGCATCGCAGCTCAGAGCTGAATTACGAAGCTGACGTTCCCGGTTGCTATGGTAAAATGTTATTACAGTTTTAACAATAATTCACCTTTTAACCCATATTCTGATTGTGCAAGTGTATTAAAGGTTTGTTGGAATGTTTATTTTCCTCTATCTGAGCAGAGTGAAGAAAGAAAATCCACCTGATCAGGGAAACACAGATCCAACTACTTAGCTAAAGTTAGCTAACCTTTCTGTATGGTGTGATTTGGCGCTATATAAATAAAATTGAATTGAATTGAATTGAATGTGGTGATGTCATATATAAAACGTCTGATTTGTAGTCAATTCTCAAAGTACGAGACAGGTGTGGTCAAAACACACTTCATTACTTTTTATTAAAATTGAAGTACAACATGTGTGCGGTTCGTAAGGCCAAGTGGATTAGAAAATGGCTGTTTTAGCACCGCTGACTTGAATTCATTTTTGTCGTTCTTCCGGGGACCCATCAGCTGACTGGAAAGGGAGGAGACCAGAGACATCATATACGTAGGCTCAACATGGACTGGAGCTTCCTATTGGAGCTGGCCTATCAGTGGGCCGCCATCTTGGATGGGTCTCCATTTGCCCCCAGCGCATTTGTTTCATCTGAGGAAGGTGCTCACCCAACTAAAAATACATTTTACTTTGGTTTTTCACAAAATCAAACACATGGCAAGACAATTAAATGTATATATATCATTAAATGTAATTAATTCCCAACAGGTAGGCTAGAAAAGTCATTAGTAATCCCATGTGATCTGTTTTCAATAGTACATCAGTTGTTGTGTCCATAGGTTGCACATAAAACAGCCATAGTTGCCAAGTCTGCATTGACTCCAGTTGGGTTTGGAGAATGAGGAACCCACCCACTTTGACAGCAACAATGTCACGCTCTCCAGCGCCCAATGGGGCGTCTGCGTTTTCATGTCTATGGCAACAATTGTCCTTCACCTGTGGTCTTCTACATACAGTAGTAATCCAGTAAATGTGATGTCACGGCTTTTCTGCCAAACCTGAAAATGATTATTTACGTCCGCTAGCAAAAGCTGAAAACTGAGAATTCACATATTCCACAAAGTGAAATCGTTTTGGTGGCGCATATCTTCCCTTTTCTGACAGACCAGACTGTAGATTGCTTGTTCATATTGTATATGAGAACAGTCCTTTGTCTTTATGTCTAATCTGTTCCTTGGTGTAAAGCTAATTATGTTTCTTACTGCTGCCTTTTGGCCAGATCGTCGTCGTAAACGAGAATCAGTTCTAGCAGCTAGCTGTGGCAGTTTTTTTAAAAATAGAGAAGTAGTGTTGAGTAGCGATGGGTACCAAATTTGGTACTTTTTAAGGTACCAACCGAATTCCATAGTACCGACTGAGCACCGATTCACGTCATTTGAAACGATGCCTCGTTTCGGTACCCGTCCTTCATAACGAGAACTTGCCTAGACAGCTGCGCATGCGCAAGAGCGTTATGTCGTCGGTCGCTGCGAGCCAGTTGTAAACAGAGCAGCATGGTAGAAAGAACGCACGCTAAAGCTTGGGTCCACTTCACTAAATGT